CCGTCCCGCGGGCCGTCGCTGTGCCCAGGCTCACAGCGGCCTCCGGGTGGCAGCCCCCTCTGCAGGAATGGCTGTGGCAGCTGCAGGGCAGGGCACGGCCTCACGGCAGATGGCGCCGTCTCTGACCCTGTTTCCCCTCCGACGGCTGGGTGGGGGAGGGGCAGGTGTCAGGCACCGGAACTGCTGCGCGGCGGGGTCTGGGCGGGAGGTGTGCCTGCCCACTAGCCTGCCTGGGCGCACGGCTGTCGGGGCAGGGCATGCCCCACACTGCTCTGCCCGAGGAGGCTCTGGGCGGGGCCCAGCTGCACGGGCCTGCAGCCCCTGCCTCCGCTGGCCTCCCCAGGACGGGAACAGCTGCAACGTGGGCAGCCCCTTCGCAAAGGACTTCCTGCCCAAGATGGAGGACGGCACCCTGCAGGCCGGCCCCGGAGGTGCCAGCGGGACCCGTGCCCTGGAAATCAACAAAATGATCTCTTTCTGGAGGAATGCCCACAAGCGCATCAGGTGAGCCATCGCGGGAGGGCCGAGGGCCGCCCGTCTGTGCCCCTGGCCGGGTTTCTGGGAACGGCCCTGGGGCTGCCGTCCCCCGCCTCGCCCCAGGGACCCCCAGTCGGCCTGTGCTGTGGCGGACGCCCAGCTGCGGTCTGGAGGCTGGACCTTGGGGTCCCGTGCTGGTGAGCACCGGCCAGCCCCCTCCCCCCGAGGCCAGCCTCAGCTTCCCAGTTTGTGTGTCAAGGGGTCTGTATGGAGGACCTTGGTGGCCCCTCCCAGCCCTAAAATGACCTCTTGGCATGACGACCGGGACCTTGGGAGCTGGGTCCTCTAGACTGGGAGTGGTTAGTGCGTCGGGCAGCAGCGGCAGGCTGGGCAGGGAGGGTCTGGGTGGGGAGGGGTGGATTCCGCCCCCTCGGTTATGGCGTCTGTCCCCACAGCTCCCAGATGGTGGTGTGGCTGCCCCGGTCCGTTCTGCCCCGTGCCGTGACCAGGTAGGACCTGCCAGGGGGTCGTGGGGACAGCAGTAGGGGGTCCCTGGACCAACGCCAGCTGAGGTGCATGCTCTCCCCTCCCCGCAGGCACCCAGATTACGACGAGGAAGGCCACTACGGGGCTATCCTGCCGCAGGTGGTGACCGCCGGCACCATCACGCGCCGGGCCGTGGAGCCCACCTGGCTCACTGCCAGCAACGCCCGGGTACGCGCCCGCTGCAGCCCCCGGTCCCTCCCTCCCTCCCTCCCTGCCGTCTCTAGAAGCGGGCTGCAGAGGGCCTTCCGGGGGCAGCATGGGACGGAACCCGAGACTGGGTCCGGCAGGACTCGGGTTCAAGTCCGGCCTCACTCATCGCTGTTCGGCACACACGGGCTGGGCTCCTGCCGCCGGCCACGATGGCGGGGGCTGACCGGGCACTGCATGGACGTCCCTTCGCCTGTCTGCCCCGCCACTGCTGGGCCGCCGTCCGGGGGCTGGGCGGGGGTGGGAAGCGCCTCGGGTGCCTGGGCAGGGCCCGACCTCCCTCTCCCTGCAGCCGGACCGCGTGGGCAGCGAGCTGAAGGCCATGGTGCAGGCCCCGCCCGGCTACGTCCTGGTGGGCGCGGACGTGGACTCCCAGGAGCTGTGGATCGCGGCGGTGCTCGGGGACGCCCACTTTGCCGGCATGCACGGTGAGCAGGGGCCGGGCCCGAGGCCCAGGCCGGGAGGCTGGGGGCGGGGGGTCTCCGGGCTGCGGTCTCAGTCTGCCCCGCCCCGCAGGCTGCACGGCCTTCGGGTGGATGACCCTGCAGGGGCGGAAGAGCAGGGGCACCGACCTGCACAGCAAGACGGCCTCCACGGTGGGCATCAGCCGGGAGCACGCCAAGGTCTTCAACTACGGCCGCATCTACGGGGCCGGGCAGCCCTTCGCCGAGCGCCTGCTCATGCAGTTCAACCACCGGCTCACGCGCCAGGAGGCCGCCGAGAAGGCCCAGCACATGTACGCCGTCACCAAGGGCCTGCGTCGGTGAGGGTCCCTCCCGGCCCCAGCCTCCCGCCCCCGGGGCCTCAGGCCCGCGTCGCTGCCCATCGTCGCCGCCTTTCCCGTCGCCTGCGCCCTCACCGGGCCCCTCTCCTCAGACCTGTGCATGCTCACGAGCTCCAGGGCGGCTTGTCCGGGGGCTGGGACACTCACTTAGCGGTGGGCCTTCGATGGGTGTCCTCACGGGGCTGGACCTGCGGGTCACTGGCAGTGCAGCATCTAAGACGCGAGACAGGGACAGCTTCGGGAGTGGTGCCCTCTGGTGGGCTGCCATGGCGTGCGTGACCCAGAGCTCGGGCTCCCATCTGGGCTCTGTGTCTTCTCGGCTGCGGGACCCCGGCGGGCCGGCCCCTCTGTGCCTGTCCTCCCCTGGGACGGAGCCGGCAGGGGTTGGCGGGGCCCCGTGGTGGTTGTGGAAGTGGAGTGAGGCGCTGGGGGGCCTCTCCCGGCCCGGAGGAGGCACTCACGCGGGACCGACGGCGCTGACGCTGCCCCCAGGTACCGGCTGTCGGACGAGGGCGAGTGGCTGGTGAGGCAGCTGCGCATCCCCGTGGAGAGGACCGAGGACGGCTTCGTGTCCCTGCAGGACCTGCGCAGGGTCCAGAGGGAAGCTTCCAGGAAGTGAGGCCCCTCTGTGTGTCCGGGGTGCGGGGAGGGGCCGGGCGGTCCCCGGAGAGCTGGGGTGCTCTGGTTCGAGCCGCGACACTGACGGGCGAAGCGTGCCCTGTCTGCCTGCCCCCGGGACCCCAGGTCCCGCAGGAAGACCTGGAAGGTGGTCGCGGAACGCGCGTGGACGGGCGGCACGGAGTCAGAGATGTTCAACAAGCTGGAGAGCATCGCCACGTCGGACGAGCCCCGGACGCCCGTGCTGGGCTGCCGCATCAGCCGGGCCCTGGAGCCCTCGGTGGCCCAGGGGGAGGTACGGCGCACCCCGGGGGCATGGGCAGCTCACGGAGCGGGCGGGCAGGAGGGCGGGCTCCTGCCCCTGGAGCTGGGGTGGGGCAGCGCCCCTCACCTGTGCCCACGCCCCGCCCCCCAGTTCATGACCAGCCGCGTGAACTGGGTGGTGCAGAGCTCGGCGGTGGACTACCTGCACCTCATGCTCGTGGCCATGAAGTGGCTGCTCGAGGAGTTCGCCATCGACGGGCGCTTCTGCATCAGCATCCACGACGAGGTCCGCTACCTGGTGCAGGAGGAGGACCGCTACCGCGCCGCCCTGGCCCTGCAGATCGCCAACCTGCTGACCAGGTAGGCACGCCTGCGGCCCGGCCACGGGCTGGGCCCCGCGCGGGCTCTGCACCCGGCTGCCCGGCCACGCGAGGGCTGTGCACCCAGCGGAGTGGGGCCTGTGTGTGAGCTTTCGCCTCCCCAGAGGTGAATGTTCCAGCTGCTCTAACTTAAAAAAAAAAAACTGTGGAGTCTGGGGCTGGCCTTCGACTCCGGGAAAAGGTTCCTTGGATTGGAAGTGTCTCGGCCCGAGACCGGACCACAGAGGCGGCGGGTCGGGGGACGCGCCCCGAGCAGCCGTCTGCAGGCTCTGCTCCCCTGGGCACGGGAACCCCTTTCTGCCGGACGGGGGGGCTTTTCTCGGTTCATAGGAAGTGGAGATATTTAAAACCTGTAAATGTTTCCTAAGTGCCAAAAGTTTGCTGCTCTGACTGCTAATGGAGCACGCGGCTAAGGAGGAAGTTAGTTCAAACGTGGCTTTGAAGTAGCTCATACGCCGGCTCGTGTCTCCTCGTGGTGAGGTGTAGTCCGTGGGGTGGAAGCACCTGACGCTGCGGCTGCCTGTCGGCCTGCCAGTCGGCCTGCCAGTCAGAACCAGCCTGGGAGCCGCGGTCCGCCCCGAAGGCTCGGGGAACGAGGGTGCTCGCGGTCCTCAGCACTGTCCCCACCGTGTCCTGGGGGGGCTGCCCTCGCAGGCGAACAGAGTCCCTGTGTGCACGCGTCATCACGAGGAAGTGCTCGCGTGTGCGCAGGCGGGGAAAGGCCGTGTTCTGAGTCGGGCCTGCCTCTCCCTATCTCCCTGCCGGCGGGGGGGCCGGGGGGCAGGGCCCGTGCCGCCCGCTCTCAGGGATGTGGGGCGCTCCCCGTGGGGCTGAGCGGAGGCCGGCTCTCCTCCAGGTGCATGTTCGCCCACAAGCTGGGCCTCAGCGACCTGCCCCAGTCGGTGGCCTTCTTCAGTGCGGTCGACGTGGACCGCTGCCTCAGGAAAGAAGTGACCATGGATTGTGAGACCCCTTCCAACCCCACCGGGATGGAGAGGAGATATGGGATTCCCCAGGGTGAGCCCCACGCCCCCGCGGTCCCCGCGGCGGGCAGGACCGCAGGGTTAAGGCGGACCGGACGGCGGCCTGCCCGTTGCGAGCCCCGGGGCCAGGGCGGGCATCGTGAGGTTCGCGTCACCAAGGGCCGTGTTTCTGCGGCGTGTTTGGAGGGAGGGAGGGAAGGAAGGGACGTTGGAAGCTCTGGTTTAAAGCTTTATTGTGTAAAGTCAAAAGTGCATTCTTAGGTAAAAAATGTGCTTTGATGACACTCGAGAGCTTGCTTCTATATACAGTTTGTAAGGCAAACGTTTTATGCACGAAGGACACGGACCCTCCTGACATAACGTGGCGATTATTCTGGCCCCCCACTCCCCTTTGACCCCAACAGTACAGCCCCCCCCGCCCCACTCCTGAGCTCTGAGAACCGCTCCTGAGAAAGTGGCATCACCAGTCTGCACTCTCTTCCAGGGGAAGCGCTGGACATCTACCAGATCATCGACCTCACCAAAGGCTCCCTGGCAAAGCGGGGCCAGCCGGGGCCGTAGCCGCGCACAGGCCCCGTGTCGGCTCCCGTGGAGCTCCGTCCGCCGGGCGCCCACCCTCAGGCCCTCGGCTGTGCTCTGCTCGGCAGCAGGACCCGCCAGGAGCGGCTGCCTGCGGCTGTGGGCGCAGCTGACCTCAGTGGGTTCCGACCCAAGATGCCAGCCTCGGTGCAGGCTGGGGGACCAGGGGGTTGTGGCTTGTTGGGTGAGAAGACAGCAGAAGCCCCAAAGTTCGCATTAACTCAGGCATTTCATTCTTTCTTCCTTCTCTTCTTGGCTGGCTCTCTGCTCTGCCCCCCGGGCTCCGGTGCCGCGTCCTGGAAGGGGAGGAGCCGGGCTTTAGTGCGGCCCGCCTGCTCAGAGCCACTGGAAATAAATGGAACCTTCTCTTCTCTTGGAGTCTGTGTGCTCGCGCTCTCTCCCCTCCCCACTCCCTGGCCCTGAAGGGTTGGGGGACCTACTCACTGGCCCTGAAGAGGGAGGGGATTCTGAGTCCAGTTAAGGGGGTGGGTGCCTTCTCTTTGGACTTCTGTCGACCCAGGGAGAGTCACGGGACCAGATGACAGAGGAGGGTCAAAACGGTACAGAACGAGTCGGTACAGGGAGGGGTGGGGCCCAACGGTCTGAGCAAAGGAGGGGCGGGCTTTCTCAGAAGCCTGAGGCGAGGGTGTTTCACACACGCCCCCAACACTGGGCTCTGCTCCGCAGGCTCAGGCCTGCGGTTGGCCTGCTGAGGCCAGAGGGCGGGGTGGACCCCGGGGAGGGGGTGGTGACGGCAGGAGGTGCACTGGGTCCTGGGCCCGAACGCTGGGGCTCATCCGTCCTCCTCCCACAGTTCGCCCACACTTAGGCCTTGTTTCTGGAGCAGTTTCCCCAAGATGTGTACTAGTTTGGGCGCCTCGGTGTGGCTCAGCGCCCACAGACCTTCTTGTGAGTTCTTAGTTTTGTGTGCCGGACCCTTTGAGCCCCTCCTCTGGCTGGGGCCGGGAAACGGGAAACAGGCACTGACCTCCCCGTCGTCCTCCTCCTCCTCCTCGCCCTCCTCGCGGAGGAGCATGTCCAGGATGTTTCCTTTGATCTTGAAGTCCCTGGACGTGCTGAGCTTCATGTGCTGCATCAGGTTCACCTGGGGCAGGGCGTGGGCGTGAGCATGGGCGCGGGCCCCGCCACCCAGCCCCCGCTTTCCGCTGACCCTCGGACACGGCCCCTGGGCCTGTTTCTCCGTCCGCCCACCCCACCCCCCCGTGACGGTTGCAGTCAGGCCATCAGGTCGGAAACAGGAACGGGCTGCAGTGCTTCCCTGCTGCGGCCTGGCTGCTTCCGTGAGCCAGGTTTCCCCCCCACCCCCACTGTGGGGTAAATGATACGGTAGAAAGTAACAGAGTATGTCTACCTTGGACCTCTTGGAAAGGAAGATGAGAAACTTTTCATACTGTTCAATGGCGAAGACGAGATTTGGGATTGGCTTGGTTTCCCGAAGAACTTTGGCCTACAGGGCAGAGAAGAAAAGACCCCCAATTTCAGGGTCCAGGGCTTCTGAGCCTGTCTCCTGAGGCCGCCAGGAGACCCGCTCACGGCCCTGCCGGGGGTGGGGGGGGGAGGGGGGCTGGGCTGCCTTCCAGTCACACGCGGTTTTCGTTCGGCGCCAGCCATGCGCCAGCTCTGGGCGGGTCGGTCTCACCGAAGGACCTGGATGTCGCTGGAGATCACATGATCCTTCCCTTTACCGCAACTCCTACGCCCTCGTTGTCCCCTAGAGGCTGGCCGAGGGGAAGGCCATCTGCGAGCGGGGGCTGCCTCGCGGGCTTGGCCATCCTCAAACAAGCAGCCGGGCTCGCTCTGCACGGGCTCTGCTGCTTCCTGGTCTGCACGCGGACTTCTCACTGAGGCTACAGTCTCCCTCTCCAGTCTCAAGCACAGCTTACAGAGCCTTCCGGCAATTTCTCACACTTTAGTGCATTGACCCTCCCCCCACAAACGAGGACACTTCTCCCTTTTTTCCTCCTAAGGAGGACGGTCTGGGAGGTAGTTCTGTATCTTTCACGTCTGCACGGCATTCTGCAGCCCTCTGACACAGCTCCCACAGGCGGACCGGCCGCATGGACGCGCGCGAGTCCGAACCCCCCGGAACTCACTCAGCAGCTGCTGTGCGCTGCCCCAGGAGGCGCGCTCCGGAGTCCCCGGGTCCCTGCTTCTCTGCACCCAGAGCGGCTCTCACCCGCACTCGAGGGGGCACCTCTGCGCCCACTCCCTCTTGCTGCGAGAACCCTTCCCAGTCGATATCGTCCCTTACTTCCATTCTTAAAGAGCGACCTCGAGGTCCTCTGGTGCTTCCTACAGGAAGCATGTGCTCTTTGGCTCAGAGCACAAAAGATGTCCATTGACCATGAAACTCACTGGCTGAGAAGCAGCCGCACACGCTTGTCCGGCCCCACACACACGTGTCGGTAGTGGCTGTCGAGATGTAATTCACGCACCACACCGTCTGCCCGTGTGCCGCTCAGTTCCGTGGTTTTCGTACCGAAGATTTAGAACACCTTCACGCCCGCAGATAAAGGCTGTACCCCCCTTAGCAGGCGCCCCCCCCCAATCTCTGCAGTGGACTCCCAGCTCTAGGTAACCGCTCATCCGCACAACTCCCGTGACTGGCTTCTTCCAGCCGCAACCACCCTGCCGTGAGTGTGGGCCGTGGCTTACCATGGCCACGGCGACAGCAGACGTGGCCTTTTTCTTCCCTCCCGTGCATTTGGGGCTCCTGCTCTTCTTGTTCTGGAGAAACAGAAACAAATTCTCATTCCTGAAGGCTGCGGCAGCACGGTGGTCAGTCCCAGGAAGGCGATCACAGCCGAGTGCAGGGGCCCCTGGGGGGCCCGAGTCTGGAGACTTGGGAGGAGGCTGGAGAGGCTGTTCCCGGGCCTGTGGGCTTCTGCTCAGAGGCCACCGCCCGATGTCTTACAAGCCCTGTGGCTGGTCACGTGCTCAGGGAGGGGTATTAAAGGTCATAGACCACCTCGCTGGGCGGCAGACAACGGGAGAACGAGGAGCTCCTGGAGACAGTAAGAACTGACCCAGGGAACTAACTGGAAGCACAGGACCCCGACGAGGCCGAAGAGTCTGAAGGGACAGAGGGAAACCACCCGCGAGTGCGGGGACACGCAAACCCGTTTTCCTGTGGTGCGTGCGGAGAGAGAGGTGGCCCGGGGGCCTGCCGACTCGCACAAGGAATGCTCCTCCGGCCCGAGCCCCCCCACCCCGCGCCCCCCCTGCAGCGTCCACATCCGTGTCCGCGAGGACCACGTGACTCCAGAGCGGGGGGCCGGCGGACGACAGCCACGGGCCAACAAAACCTGCCCGCTGCTTGTTTCAGAAAACAGGCTACTGGGCACCAGCCACGCTCTCTCACTTGCACACCGTCTGGCTGCTCGGACCCGACACGGGCGGGCCTGGGCAGTGGCGGCAGAGGGCATGGCCCAAAGAACCCCAAATGTTTGCTACCCGGCCCTCGGCAGAAGAGCTGCCAGCCCGTTCCAGAGACCGACGACCTGGGTTCACACCTCGGCTCCCTCTGCACTGGCGCGCAGCCCCCTGACCTCCTCTCGTGACTCACGCGGGGCAGCTGCCGGCCACACGGCGTGGGGAGGGGAGGCAAGAGGGCCCGGCGGACGCCGGCTGGGCCAACCCAGTGGACACGGCCTTCCAGCCGCGTCCCCAAGCTCCCCACTGTGAAGTGCTCCGGTCTGTCCAACAGGGGTGCTGCTTGAGACAGAAGTTCTCAAACAGGACAGACAATGACGGCTGAACGTGTATATTATTGCCCCTCCTGCCGGAAACTTTAATATGCCTACAGCGCCTTACAGATGAGAAACACGCCCAAGTATCTCTCCCAGAGCCCTTCTTCTGGAGGACTATCTCAGTCAGCACCAGCCGGACCCGCCCCAGACGTCCTCCGGTTCCCCCTCGGCAACAGCCCAGCTGCACTCCGACTGCTGCGACTAGGGGCCTGGGGGACAGGCCGCCCGGTCCTCACCCGGAGCTGATTCTGCACCTTAAGGACACCTGGCAATTTCTAGAGGCGTTCTGGCTGTCACAACTGGGGGCTGCTGTCGGCAGAGATGCTGTTCTGTGCCCCAAAGCGCACAGGGCAGGCCCCAAGACAGGGAGTTACCTGGCCCACAGCGTTAGCCGTGCAGAGGCTGAAAAGCCCTGGTCTGGGCCAGCTCAGGTGACCCAGCACGCCCTGGGACCGTGCGGAGGCCTCGGCACGCGAAGGCCTACCGCGGTGCTGACCCGGAGCCGCTCACCTGCACGTACGAGATGAAGGAGTAGCACAGAGGGGTCAGGTGCGAGCCCGACAGCTTCACCTGCAGCGAAGGAGGACCAGGAGGCTGACGCGCGGCAGGGATGACACGCCCCCACCCCCGCCCCCGAGAGGTGCTCTCCACTCACCAGCTTCTCCATGATTTTGGGGATCCCGCTGGAGCTCCGACACACCTGGAGATACTAACAGAGGGTCCCTGGGTGTAGCGCCCCGCCCCGTGTAAACGTCCCACGAGACCATGGCCAACGGAGCGTGACTGGGCGCTCTGACCGGGGCGGGCCGTCTCCGAGCGCCCCAGACCCATGGCTCCCTCGTCCCCCCTCCAAGCCCCCGAGCTGCGCCGACAACAGGCAAGGGAGGCTTTCTGCTTCGCGTTTGTTCAGCTCGCTGCTTTAAAACCCTCCATCTAGGGGGAAAAAACAACTGGCTACTCTTCCTTTAAAAAACGCCGGTAAAGAGAGGGGCCCAGCATTTCCACTGCAGATAGCTCAGCCAGCCCCCGCAGTGCAGCCAGAGCCGCAGGCCCTCGGAGCTGGGGGCCTCGCCGGCCCATCCGTGCCTCCGTGTGCAGGGCAGGCCACCGCCCTCTGCGGGTCCGTCGGCGGAGGACCACGACGTTCGTGTGCAAGGAAACGGTTTTTGCTGACAGATACAAACACGCATTAACTTCAACTCCACGGAGAACATGCCTTCTGGTTTTAAAACATGAACTTCCTGCCCACCCCAGTACCTGACTTGTAAAGCACTGAACACCTATCTACCTGTTAAAGGCGAAAACAAGGGAACCAACACCTCTGTTAGTGCCCAGACTGGCCGAAATACTGCAGCTTGTTTCTGCAGTGGGGAACCCGGCTGAATTCTGCAGCTACAGGTTAGGCGCAGCCCCGGAAGGTGGTGGAAGGGGCATTCACTCTTACACAGGAGCCGCACCCACACAGGCCGAGGGGACAAGGGCCTCTGAGGGCAGGTTCCAAACTGGGCCGTGAACTGCCGGTTCCTGGCCTGTGGAGACCGAAGCAGGACGCGGCCCGGCCTCCGGCCTGGCTGGGCCCCCATGGCAGTGACCCGGCCGCTCCCGGTCACTCACGTATCGGACGAGGGCCGTGAGCACGGTGTACATCTTGCAGAGGGCCCTCAGCAAGGCGTCCACGCAGCTGCCCGAGGGCAGGGCCGTCTGCACCAGCTCGTGGAAGAGCGTCAGCAGCGTGCCCAGCTGCAGGACGACGGCCTTCTCCCCGGGGAGGTTGGGAGGGGTCTCCTGGGAAGAGGCTTCTGCAGGGAAACGAAATCGCCACGTTCAAGCCCAACCAGCCTTCTCCTCTGGTGGGAGCGAGGGAGGGTTAGAAATCAACCCCCACCCGGGGAGTGAGCTAGGGAGTGTGCAGGGCGGTGGGCCTGCGACCGGCCACGCAGCGCGAGTGGACAGCAGCGGTCACGAGCCGCAGCGCTGTCCACGGTCAGCTCGGACAGTCGTGCGCGGGCCCAGGCGGGGTCTGGGTGCCTTCGCTCTCGTCACGACTCCCGAGCCCCACCCTGGCGCGAACCTTACCTGACGAGGTCTCTTGGCTCACTTGTCCCTTGAGCTTGGTGATTAGCCAGTCCACTTCTTCTAGAACCTTCTCAGCCTGACTCAGAATCAGCAACTGGGAAAGAGAAGAACGCCCACCACGGCTGGCTGCACCCGGCGGCTGGCGTCCCAGCAGGACCCCGGCCACCGCGGCGGGTCCCAGGCCTCAGGGCGGGGGCCCGTGTGACGGACCCCCCCGAGAAACAGAAGGGCAAGAGCACAAGGCGGCTTCCCGGGGCTCCGGGGCGACGACTCACACACACAGTAGGGGCCGCTGTTCTGAAATTCACCATCGCAAAGTGGTCGGTTTTCTCCACCTCCACGTCCTGGGGCGGGACAGAGAAGCGTGCCGTGAGGGGGGCCCGCGGCCGGCCCCCACCCCGGCCCGGGCGCTGCGCGGGGGGCTCGCCGCGGCACCTCGTCTATGTCTCCCAGGTGCCCGTGCACGTCCTGGGACAGGTCGCGCAGCAGGGCCACGGGGCTCTTGCACGCAGCGTGGAGGCTGAGCAGCAGGGTCATCAGGCCCTTGCAGAACAGGGCGTCCTCTGGGGCGGGAAGGAGAGAGGCACCACGGGCCAGAGCACAGTCAGGGCCCCGGGGCGGTGACTCGGGTGGAGCCTGCACTCGTCCTGCTGGGCACAGCGCCCCAGCGCTGCCCCCGCGCCCCACGCCGCTCACCCACCGACTCGCACGTCCCTCCACGGCCCGGAGGAGGGAGATGTTCCCGTTACGAGGCAGCCCTGACCGACCACTGGAACCAGCACCCCCAAGGCCCCTGCCTCACTGCCCCTCGGAGGAATCGGCTCCCCTGACCTCTGACCTCGCATCTAGCAGCGTGTGGTTTTGACCACAGCCCCTCTGCCCCCACCCTGAAGACCACCTGGGCTGGTCTCCTCTCCGAGGGGGTGCTGCGGCGGGAACGGCCAGCCGGCCAGAAGCACACGTGAGCGTGGCCGTCAGCAGCCCCGCCAGCCGTGAGCGAGCGGCCCAGCTGCTCCGCACCGTCCCCCACTCGGCGTCAGTGCCGTGCGGCCGTCCCGTTCTGGCCACTCGGCCGCACAGGTGCGTGCTGTTTGGAGAGGACGACCCCAAACAAAGCCTGAAAGCAGGAATGTGGGGCGAGACTCACCCCGGCTGTTCTCCTTGCAAACCTTGGTCGTCCAGGACAGCATCTGCACAAACTGGAGACCAGTCGGACGTTGTTAGCAAACCCGGCCGGAGGCGGGCCTGGAGGAGCCCTGCACCCGTCCGATTCCAGCCGCCCCCCTCACACACTCGTGTCTGGGTCTGACGCGCTCCCACCGGGGCGAGCAGGAAGTCCGCCCGCAGCCAGGAGCGTCAGGAGCGCTCTCCTCGCCCTGCAGCGCACGAGACTCGCAGGCCCGGCCCTCAGGAGGGGCCCGACCCCCGGGGTCAGGTCTGCGTGCTCACCCGCGCGCCTCCCCCTCCCCTACAGCCACGTCTGGGGCGGCAGTGCCCGTGCTCCTTCCCACGCCCCACTGTCTGGAGGCGTCTTTAAGGACATTAGGTCAGTGGAGAGGTGCAGGGGAGAAGATCCTGGCCGTAAGAACAGTAGAACTGGTCTTTAAGAGCCCAGAGGCTGGAGGTGGCTAGAAGGGAGTGGGAGAAGAAAAAGAGAAAGAGGCAAAACCCACACAGTTTTCTCAGGCGGAGGAGGAGCCTGCGTGGCCGGAGCCGTCTGCTCCAGCAGCGCCCCCCACAGGCCTTCAGCCGCGGGGACCCCGCAGTGCCAGGCAGCCGGGGACTCGCTCTTGGTCTCCGGGGCACGGTCAGTCCACAGCCTAACCCTGGGAGCTCTCTGTGAACTGGCATTCAAAGGTCCCCAGGCAGAGTGTGACATGTCACCAGGAGGAGGAGGAGGAACACTCTTCTGTGTGAAGGGCAGGGACAGGCAGAAGGGTCTCTACTCCTACCTGCTTCTGCAGGAACACAGAAACCCTGGAGGGCCTCGTCATCTTTCTAGAAGGTATCTGCTCATTTGGGGGGAGGAGGAGCTGACCGGGTGGGCGGCAGGAACAGGGTAGAAAGGAGACCACGTGCTAGGAATATTTTTATAATCTCTGGTTTTTAGATACTAGGACCTTACGACCTGTTTAAAATAAAATCGAAAAAGACCCCCTGAAAGGGCTGGGGCTAGGAGGTGATGGACTTTAAACTAACGTTTCCTGGGTGTATCAGCCTTCCCAAACCCATTCGTTCCCCACCCCCGACGCCCCCGCCTCGCCCCCTGTCACCGCAGGTCTTTCCCAGGCCCCTGCGCTCCGCAGCGAGCACAGGATGACGGGATGGAGTGAGAGTGGGGGTGAGCCCGCCAGGTGCTTCCCCGGCCCCCGGCCGTCTGAGCTCAGAGGGTGGAATAATCAGGCCCGCTCTCCAGCTCTCGCACCTGACACCCCGGCCTGCGTCTCCCAAAGGCCCGCCCTCCTGAAGCAGGGGCCCACCGGGGCGCCCGCGCCCAGGGCTCCGGCGAGGCTCCCCACCGGGTCAGGCAGTGATGCAGGAGAAGCACGGGGTGGGCCCTGGGCGCTCGAGGATTTTCTCCGTCAGGCCGTTGGGAGGTCACTCCCGAGTGCAGCTGAGCCCCAGAACTCAGCCCTGCTCCGCCTCCTCTGGGCGTGAGCGCTCTCGCGCACCACACCCCACGCCGACACGCCGACACAGCCGCACGCTGACCCACACAGCTCACCCCGGCAGGGCCGCTCTGCTCCTGGGTCCTCGCCATCCCTCCCTGGCCCAATGACCCTGTTGCACCTGTCCCCAAATCAGCACCAGCTAACCCTGCTGAGGAAGGCACCTGCTGAACGTCCCCTACTCTCTAAATAACTGACGTGTTTCCAACTTGAAAAAGAGGAAACAGGAAGAGGGAGTGAAAGCACAGGTATGGAAGGGGGAGGCGCCCAAGCGAAGACGTTCTCCCGCGGTGCTCACTGCGGGCGTGGACGGCAGCCACGCGGCAGCCGCGCTCCCGCCCTGTCGGCCACGGGCACCTACGTCACGGCAGACGCACCACGCAGGACCGGGTACGCCTCCCAGATCTCACGGTAACTCGGGAGCACAGCTCAGGATGACAGTTAAAATAAGCTGCACGTGGAGCGGACACTCGGACACGTTCCTGCCAGACGCAGTGCCCCCAGCCTCGAGGGGGAGCGGGGCGCACGCACCTGAGGGGAGGCGGGCTCCAGCAGCCTGGACAGGCCGGAGAGGATGCTGACGAGGAGGGAGGCTTCTTTGCTGTTGAAGTCTTCCTCCTGGTTGCTGAGCAAGTTCGACAAGGCCCTCTGAGGGAGGAAAGCACACGGAGCCGTGTCGGCAGACTCGTCCGTGCCCGGGAGAAGAAGCGTCCAGCCGGAGACTCCCCGGGCTGGGACACGGAGCATCCAGACCCACCCAGATCCCAAGAGGACAGAATCGGAACCTAAACTCGATCCACAGCTCCTTTCCTGCCCTGCTTTCCACCACCAACATGAGTGTTTCCTTAAAAACCTGCCTGCGGGCGGGCGGACCCCCCGCCCCGTCCCACACACGTCAGGAACGGCTGTGCGCCCAGGCCTGGGGGGTTCACAGCCCCCCGAAGCCCACCCGAGGGCCCCGGCGCTCCCCTCACACCCTCCGCCTGCCCCTCCTCCTCCCCTCGCACCGCCTGAAACGCTCTGCCCTTGGTGCGCCTCTTCCCCACCCCCACGTGAGTCCTGTCTCGAGGTGTGATCCCTGGCACCTGCACAGTCCCTGGGACACTCTGAAGTGGGAACCTCAAAAAGACCCTGGAATTGTGGCCACGGACGGACCTCATGGTTAGAAACTAACAGGCTTCGCTGTCCAGTCTTTCTGCACATCTGACACCAGGGACACAAGACACACCCCACCCCTCCCCGGCTCCTGCTGCCTCCGCGTGCCAACCCCAAGAGTGGGCCCTGGAGGCACTGACTGCGGCAGGGTGGGCCGGCTTCCCACACACCGGCCCAGCCCCCTCTTAAACGCGGACCCTTCCATTCTAAGAGCTCCGTCCTCTTGCTTGGATGATGACTCAGAAAAAGTCCCTGTCCTACTTGTTCCCTGTCGGCTGTTCCCACCAGCCGGCCACGTGGACAGCCCCTCTGCCAGGACCCCTGGGCCAGGCTGGCAGCCGCCCAGGCCGCTCACCTGGAACTGCCGGATCTGGAACGCGGCCCGCTGGGTGACGCTGACGTCCGCCTCCTCGCCCTCGCTGTCCGGGACGTCTAGGGAAGGAAAAGAGCTCACCTTCTTTGAAACGGACTTACTGTGCGTTTTCGCTTTAACAGCTAAAATTTTAGAAAGTCGAAAATCCAGAGACAGATTTAAATATATTCGGAAGAGAAATTCTGCAATTTCCTCATTTTCACCACGTTCCGTGTTCCAGTCACTATTTGTGGTCACGTGGGATCCAGTGAATGCCGATTCCGAACCCACGGTCACCCGCCAGCAACAGCAGGACTGTCCTCACGTGACCTCTGACGGGTTAATAAACAGGGTCCAGAGGCCCGGTTAAGGAGGAGAACGGGAGGCCCACCCAGCGCGCGGAGGAGCAGGGGCACCCGGGGCGGGAAGAACTGCTGCACGGCGCTCAGGATCCTCTGCACGCCCTCCAGGCACAGCAGCGAGACGCTCCTCCCTCTCTCCTTCCGCCCCGACTCTTCCACGCAGGTGGGGACGGACGTGTACCTCCAGAGCAGGACCCTGCACGGGCAGAGGGGGGTATTGTTACTGTTACAGCCAGCCTCCCTGAGGTGCAAGTTCCGCACGGTCAACTTCACACCCCGCAGACGGGCGCACAGCTCCGTGAAATTTAACAAACCCGACGTGTGTGATCACCCCACACTCAAGACACTGCCGTCACCCGGAAAGCTCCTTCGCACTCCTCTGTGGTCGGTCCTCTCTCCCTGGTTCCCCAGGCGACCACCGATCCCTTCGTCCCCGTCCCCACGGTTTTACCGACAAATCGTTACGTGAAAGGGCACCACAGAGCGCGCAGCCTTGGGAGTCAGGCTCTGTTCCTGACTGTTCGCTTCCGAGAGCCACCTGTGCGGCTGCACGTGTCGGCAGCTCGTCCCAAGTCACCCCGAAGCGTGGATGTGCCACAGCCACCCGTCCTGTCAGCCGTCTGCTGGCGGGCACGCAGGCTGCTCCCATGTTCGTGTTCTGCCACCGCAGGGGCAGCTGCTGCAGGCAGGCCCCCGACCTGGGTCTGTGCTCTCGTGTCTCCCGAGGAGCGGCATGTGCAGGCCACGCGGCAGGGCCAGGAGTCCTCCCAGACTCCTCCTGGGAGGGCCCTTCTGGGAAGCTGCCCGACCGCCTTCCGGAGCGGCTGTGCCGTCCCGGCCCCTCCCCACCCAGGGCAGCATGAGGCCCAGTCGGCCTCTCCATGTTCAGGCGCCCGACAGACACGTGGCGGCTGGGTCCCTGCGCCCTTCATGCGCGTGTCCGCACTGGAGAGCTATGTGCACCCTCTTCTGCCCTCGTGTGGCTGCGTCTACGTCTCTTCTCCGCTAAGGTGTCCAACCTTTCACCCACTTTTCAACTTGGCCTTTTTTTTTTAATTGGAAAAAAGGCTTCTTTCTGGGCTCTGATGACCATCCCTTCACCAGAGGTGATTTGCAAATGTCTTCTCTCAATCTGGGGCTTATCTTGTAATTTCCCTGAGTGTTTTTCAAAGGGCACAATTACTTAAAAAGACTGTGCTTCTGGTGTCACACCTAAGAAATCTTTACTTAAAACAAGATCAAAAAGATTTTTCTCTTCTTTACATTTATGTCTCTGATCAATTTCAAGTTAATATTTTGCAGATGAGTTGAGACATGGATAAAAAAAGTTTGGGGGTTTTTTGCATATGAATACTCATTCCAAAACCATTTGTAGAGAAGACCTTCTTTCCCCATTAAATCACCTCAGCAGGCTTGTCAGGTCAGGTAACCCAGGTAACCATAAAGTGTGTTATTTCTGAACTGTCCACTCTGCCCCCGACTCTGCCCGTTCCACGCCGTCTCAGACGCAGCACCCGTACGAGGAAGCCCTGACACCCGGAGCGTGAGTCCTCTCTGTCCCCTGACTTCAGACTTGCCCCAGTCACTCCTCCTGGGAGGGCCTGCAGCCCGAGGGCCAGGCCTCGGGGGGGGGCGCGCCTTACCGAGTTATGTCGCAGAGGTTCTGGAAGATCTTGTCTGCGTTCTGGCCGTCGGGGCCACTCACGCGCCCCGTCTCCTTGAGCTGCTGCGCCTTCCGCAGGGCCACGCCGACCGCATAGCGCATGAACTCACCGTTGGACCTGAGCACAGACAGGCTCTCCTCGTGGCTTTGGGCACTGTCCCTGGGGAGGGGGAGGGAAGGAGGAGGAGGGGAGAGGGAGGGAGGGAAAGAGAGACGGTCCCTGACTGTTCCTGGGACCTGGAACTGGGCTCTCCAGGGACTGCCCAGAGCTGCAGCACCCAGTGTGGGCTCCGCAGACTGGACCCCAGGCCCGAGCCCGTGCCAAGACTGCCCAAATTACCTTCCCCAGACCCTATCCCCTGCGTGTGTGGGGGTGACTTCTGCCCCACGCCACCAGGCCAACTCTCAGACACCAGCAGAGTGTCTGAGCGGTCAGCTCTGCCCCGACACTGCCCACCTGCAGAGTGCAGAGACCCCACAGGTTCCAGGTCAGTCCTGCCAGCCTCCCCTCACCCCCCACTTCAGGCACCAGCTGCCAGGCCAGGCAGCACCCTGGCCGTGTCCCAGAGGTTCCGGAAGACCGTCTGGCTGTTATCTGCACTTCTGACTGACCGGCTGTCAGAGGTTCCCACAGCCCCTTCCTGGGGCTCCACGTAGCTGCTGAAACGCTCTCACAAAACTCAGAAACACACGTGTGCAGCAAGAATCACGAACCCCAGCCAGGTAACGATGCCCACACAGGTCCGCGGGCGCGCCCTCGCTGTGCGGCCCCCTCCGGCGCCCCGTGGGGGCCTTACCTGAAGAGGGCGGTGAGAAGATCGGACACGAACTTCAGGGACAAAAAACTGTCAGTGGTCTTGCAGGCCGTTTTGGTTTTGCCTTTACCAGCTTTTTCGTGAAGGATGTCAGAGAGTCTCTTGTAACACGTAAACAAGCTCAGGACGTCCTCGAACTTGTTCTTACTGTGCGAAGGGAGAGAGAGACGGCCAAGGACAAGCGTCAGGACGCTGCGGCCCCGTGTCACACACGGTCGGTCATAGGGAAGTCACAGTGCTCCTACAGCTCAGACACGACGTCGTCGCATGCGAATGGGCCTTCGCTGCGGACGGGGGACTCCCGGCCCTGCCGCTCGGTCTGGGTTATTCTTCCCTGCCTTCTCCGGACCGGCCAATAGAGAGCACGAAGCCCGACACCGCCACCAATCAAAAGGCCCCTCTGACCACGCGGAGTGCTCGAGTCCGGGTCTGGGGAACCCCGAATGGACGGAAGCCTGCCGGGGGCACGGCGTTCACCAGCCTGTCTGGCGTAGACAGGCCTGGGAGTTCTCTGGCTGGACGAACAGTGTCTGCTCTCGGGCTAGATGTCGATACCAGAGACGGGGCCACGCTCTGGAATCTGTTCGATACCTAGCCCAGTGTTAGAGCTCAGAAAAAAAAAAAAAAAAAAAAAAAAACAGAACAAAACCCCAGTCCCATCAAACGGAGTCCCAGGGAAACTGCCGCTACAGCCACACCGATTCCTTACCTGAAGTTACTGGTGGAGAAGTTATACTCCATGAGCACCTCACAGACTCCCATCACGAGAGAAGCACAGATGTTATTCTTGAGGCCGACACCGGTGCTCTGAGAAAAGTCCGCTGACTTGTCCTGGAAGACACAGCAGTGAACGCTAACGGGCTGCGCAGAGCCTCCACCGCGCAACAGACCCGGGCCCCGGCCACTACCAGCTCGAAGTCCTCCAGCTCGCTCTTGATCATTCTGTTCGTGACGGACTCCAGCACGTCGTCCAGCTCCTGGTAGAATCCCTCCTCCTCCTCCTCCTCCTGCTGCAGGGGCATCACCCTGCTCTTGTACCAGGCCAGGCAGTGCTGAACACAGCACAGCAGATGGTCCTGCAGAAGGAAGTGGTAATGACGCGTTCGCGAGTGCTCAGGGCTAACTGGTGGAGCTGACGCCAATCAACAAGTATGTCTCGTCTGCAAGGAAGGTATTCGCTAGCACCACCAAGTAACCCAATACGAATTAACACAACTGGAAAAAACCCGAACACACAGAGTATGCAGAGGCACGGTTTCTGGCCTCTCCCCGAGGAATTGGCTTCACAAGCAGCTGCGCCCCCGACGGCAGCACCTGGCGTGCTGCCTCTGACCCGGCGCGGACACCGGGGAGCCGGGCTGGGCAGCCAGACCCTCCCTGGCGCTCTGGGTCCCGGAGGCTGTTCCAAGGTGGGGGTTTGCGCTGAAGGAACCTCTGGGAGACACCACGGCACCTCCTGGCAGAGAAGGTGCAGGTATGAAGGCAGAACACGGCGACTCTGCGAGCTCGAGTTCCAAATCGTGGGGACGTGGGGGGAGAGTTTCAATTTTATCTTCTCCTCCCGTCCTTCCGAGGCTACAGAGCCAGAACGGGAAACCAGCCTGCTCCGGTTCTGCTGGAGGGCCGATGGACCGCCAGTTCCAGCTCAGCCTGGACCACAGGCGCCCTCCAGAAAAATGAAGCCGGCCCCTGGGTTCATCTGCTCCTCGGTGACCCCCACCCCCCCCTTCCTAAAGGACGTTTATTTAGCACCGGCATCGAAGGGCTGCAAACGGGGGACAAACTGCCCAGGGCGGGGAGCGGGTGCCCCACGATGAGATGCCGACACAGAGACGTCGCGCCAGCAGGCACCCGGCGGCAGGGACAGCTCGGAAAAGGCCAGCCGGGAGGATGTCAGGGCGGAAACTCACTGGGAGCAGCACAGAAAGAATCCCACAGGGAGAAGCACCTCCTTCTGAAGACCAGCCCCAACCACGGGGTTGACACTCAACGGTAAAAGTGACGGTTTCGGGGGGAATGAGGTCTCACCAGTGGCTCTTGCAGGCAGATCTCATCTCCGTGGGTCAGAACACAGGCTTCCAGCTTCAGGGGGGGCAGCACGTCAGCCTGCGGCTCATAGAACTGCTTCAGCTGCAGGTGGCAAGGGGGACAGACACCGGCGCTCACGACCGCCTGCCACTTCGGTGACCGGTCAAGCTAATGGCACGCTTCATGCGTAACACCTTCTGGGACTTATTTCCAAAAGTGCAAAGGACGCAGGGGAGTTTCTACCGCTCCGGCGCACCCACACCCTTCGCCCTTGCTTCAGGCCCCGTGCCCCCACCTGTTTTCCGCACCCGCGGAACCCACTCTCACCTGCGACAGCAGCGTCTGCATGATGGAGCTGGCCAGCTGCGAGTTCCTCCGGAGAACGTCGTAGAACCCCTGGGAGGGATCGAGCAGAGACTGAGTGAGCCCGTGTGTGTGCCGTGCTTTCACGGTCGGGAAAGAACCGTGAAGCGAGGGAGGCCAGCGGGAGACAGCTCACCTCATACAGCAGGAGTCGGACGTCCGCCTGCTGGCCCAGGCACCTCCGCAGGCTGTCCATGATCTCCAGGCAGAAAGCCTCGTTGGCGGCGGAGCTGTAGCGGCCGTGCACGTCCACGTGGACCTGGAAGGGACGCCCGGAGCGGGGGCGAGGCAAGCCTCGGTGCTCGGCTTCCCCCAGACGCCACAGCCCGGGACAGCGGCGGGTGTCCCCGTCACCACCAGGCTGGGACGAGGGCCAACCGATCCCGCTTTGGGATGAGGGAAGTTCTAGGCATTTTATACGACGAAGCCTACCCCCCGCCGCCCCCCCGCCCGCGGTGCTTCTCGGCAGTGGCGGCTGCTCAGGGAAGCAAGCGGAGTATTTCCCGCCTCTGCAGGCTGGCCGTCCCTAACACACTCCATTTCACTCACAAGGCCTAAAAGCCGTCCTTAACTGTCCTCAGTAGCTGGGAGAACCCAGCCTTTTGCTTCCACAAAATCCCGAAAGGGTTAGAAGTGACTAGCTTTTACTTCGCAAGCGAGCACGACGGTAACACCCCTTGTTTCATTTACATGAAACACCCAGCAGCCACAGAGCAGTAACCCCTGACCCCGGCCCCTGGCATGCGAGCAGGGCCGTAAGGGCCGAGGGAGGTCCAGCTCCAGCTCCAGCCTGTCCGGGTGGTATCGCCTCGGGCCAGTTACTGCCCCTCTCGGCTTCGGTTTTCTCATCATTACGAGGGAGATGGCGATGACACAGGAAGGATGCCCAGGGCTCCTGATGTTCAATCTGCGCCGCAGGCGAGAGCCCCGCACGGCTGCACTAGAGCAGCAAAGGGTTCCCGGTGAAACTGGCATGTTGATGGCCGTAGTGTGCAATCATGTGGCATGTAGTTTGAACTAGACAATTTTACTGTTCCAAAGCCCACACTGCCAGATTATTGTAAAAAGTTTCATTTTCTCCGATCACGGCATTTAACAGATGCTCGTGTGCAAAGTGAGGACACGGCTGAGGAGGGAGGGCTACAACAAACACGCACGGCCTCCGAGGACTGCCGTGCAGACTAAGGGACCCGCAGCACTCAGCACGGCGTCCAGCACGATGAACCACAAACGCCACGCACACGCGTAATTTAAAACCTACTAGTGACCCGTTAAAAGAAGCTGATGGGATTATCTCCGTTTTATTTAACCCAACATATCCAAAATGTTATCTCCACATGGGCTCACCATGACAACCAGAGTCTACATCCTTAAATTTCGCACTGTGTCTTTAAAACCCAGCGTGCATTTCACACGTGCGGCACGACTCCATTGGGACTGGCCGCAGCTCGAGGGTCTGCACCGAGCTGGCGGCTGCCACAGCACAGAGCCTTTCAGCCGGCCGCAGGTCTGCCGTCAGTGATGATGGTTAAGTGACACTGATCACAGCAGCGATGACACCATCCCCATCACCATGGTCCCGACCCTGCTCCACCACTGTCTGCACAACCGGAACCCGGCGGAGGGAACCCGCGTGCAGGTCACCAGCTCCTGCACCTGTGCGCCCACGACGAGCGGGGGCCGACCCTCACCTGGCTGAGGCTGGCGGGCTGGCTGCACTGGGAGGATGACAGGCTGCCCAAGACTCTGAAGTTCTGCAGGAGCAGCAGGAAGCCGGCCACCGCGGACTTCCGGGCGTCCAGCTGCCTGGCTCAGGGACAGACAGAGAAGTCATTAACAGTGCTGATTTCACAGCAAGGGCTTCCCGGGTCAAAAAACCCCAGTCAGTGTTGTACGGAGACGCACGATGGGACAACAGTGAAGCAGAGAGCTACGCAAACTCAATTTACAAGGATGCAGGGGGGGCGGAGGACTTTATCCACAGTGGCCGGCACCAGGCCCCGGAGTCTCACGGGCGCGACTTACCTGGCGAACATAGCCTTCCGGAGCACGAGGATCAGGGAGTCTCTCATTGCCATGCTCACCTTGAGAAGGGGCTGCAAGGGGAGGCAGCAGTGGGTGAGGCCAGAGGGAGCTTGTCTGCCAGCCTCAGCCCCTCTCTGCCCCGTCCTGTCGTCTGGCTCACCCAGGGCCCTCTGGGTCTGTTTTACACACACCCACCAGTGCGTGGCACCCCGAGCAGTGAGGACAGCGGCGCCCTTGCTACATAGGAAATGCCAAACAGGAGCTAGCTGTGCGTGCCTCCAAGTCTGCTGTCCTCAACACACAGCCCAGTTTCAGAATCAAGAGAAGCGGGATTTCTCAGTCACACACACTCACACTCACACTCCGCCCCACGGGCTCCGCGGGAGACTCACCTGCACGGCCTTCAGCAGCCCTTGCACAGCCGGAAGGGGCAGGAAGGACAGGTAGTCAAAGCTTTCAGTGACTTTGGAAGAACAACTCTGGAGAACCAAGGGTGAATGCGTGATGATATCCGACAGCAGTTCTGAAAAACAGAATCTACAATGAGTTGCCGCAAATAACCAGTTTCAAAAAAAAGGAAAAATGGGGAAAGACGTGGTAAAAAGTTTGTTTCATTTCTGGGGTCAAATACACTGCAGTATAAACAACTTCTTGCTGACCCTATCCGTTTTTCTACAGTAGCTGTAACCAGGATACTTAACCCTCTCCTGCGATAGTGTAAGACGGCAAAAGCTGACCCGCCCGAAAGACGGGAGCCCTCTGCGCTGCCCAGACAAGCAGCACGTGGCGTCGGTATCTTTCCGGGCGAAGCGGGTACACACGTGCACACTTTGATTACGTGCGACTGAAAGTGTGACGGTCCCCTACTGAACACACAAAGGCATAAAACGTGGTCTCTCTCCCTTCAAGAATTTTAACGTAGTTGGAAGCCGAGTGTATTTTAAAAGAACGGAAGAGGTAAATAACAAAGTAATACCAAATGCCTACCAATCCCCAACAGTTTACTGCCTAGCAAACCGCAGAAAAGGAGGCCGCACAGAGTTCAAAGGCAGATCCCCGGTGGGCATGCTGCAGCAGAGCGGAGAGGGGAGGACGCCCAGCCAGGCTCTGCAGGACGGGCCACGGGGGCTGCTGCGTGCTTGGGGAAAGCAGGAGTGCGGGTGCAGCAACGGAGAGTGGACGGGGCGATGCCATGGGCTTGGGGTGAGGGACCAGAATGAATCACTGAAGGTAACGGCGGATCAAACTGTCACGGATCCTAAGTGCCACGAGAGGAGCTGAAGGGTTATCACCAGAGGACGAGGGCCCCCGAGCGCCGGGGCAGTGCTCTGGAACACCCGTCTGGCGGCGATACTCAGATGGACTGCCGCGGACAGGAGAGGAAGCCGCGGCAGCGGTCTAAGTGCCAGGCTGTAGGGTAGGGGCTCGGCAGTGGGAGTGTGTGAGGGGTGGGGATAAGAAAGGAGAGAAAAGGAACAGTGGGAGGGAGAGCATGAGAGAATGGAGATACCGACTCCATCTGAGAAGACAAGAAGGAATTCCAGCCTCTGGGACTCGGAGAGGCAGGCTTCAGCTCGTAGAAGGAGTGACCGTAGAAAGGGGGAATCTGTCTGAAGGACGCTGTCCTGCACCTGAGACAGGAGCGAAAACAGACACCGCAGGGGAACACGGCGGGAACGCGAGCCCGGGGCTGTGGGAAGAGCCCCCCGGCTGAACGGCGTGCCAGGGACCGCGCGCTTCGGAAACCCTTGCAGCGAGCGCACCAGTGAGCTGCGGGCCGCCGGCGGGCAATCACTGCGCTGAACTGCTGCACTTAAGTTTGTTTTCCACGAGCGAAACATTACGGCACTTAAACGAAAACACGGCTGAGAACGTGAGCCGCCCTTCCCCAGTTCAATACCTAAGAAATGGCTGATGGGCGAGGACGCTCTGGCGACAACCCTGCTGAGGACCTGCTCCAGGATCTCCTGTCGGATCACCTCATGGATCTGAAAAGGACAGAAGAACCCACAGGACCCTCCTCGGTGACCTTCCAGCTTACAGTGCGTCAGCGCGTGTTACGCAGAACGAAGAGCAGTCCTGATACGCGTGGAACTCAAGCATTTCTTTCCCAGACAGACACGAGGAGAAGCCCCTGGAAAGACAGGAGCACGCAGCCCCACCCTCGGCCTGTGCGCAGGCCAGGCATCAGCGGGACACCCCACCGTGTCCACGAGCCCACTAGAGGTCCCGTGGAGACACTGCTTCGTGCGAATGGAAGGACAGAAAGAGCTCCGTTGACCCGGAACTGTGTCGCTTCACTTACCCTCCCCGTCTCTGGTCCCAGGACCCACATGTCTGTGTCCCCAGACTCCCAGCAAACACCGTGCCCGATGTGCGATCTGACTTAACAAACTTGGGAAGCGGCGGCCAAACTCGTGCCTTACCTTGAAAGTCTCCAGCAGGATGTTAGCTCCCAGCTGGCACGCCTGCTGGTTCGGAGTTCTGGAAGGACCCGAGCTGGCTACAACAGCTCTGCCATCGACAATCTTCTTGGGCCCATAGGAATCCATTAGAAGGAAGCCAAGTTCAACCAGGCCCTGAGTCACATGATCCCAGCTGTGAACGCTGCAAGGAGACACAGCTGAGTGAGAAGGAGAAGCTCAGGCGAACACCTTACCCTTGTCTCCTTGGCCACGCTGCACACTTCCCACACTCGACCCGGACGACCAACACTCTTCCCGCGAGCCTGTTCTGCTCATGCATCTTGACGGCACCCAACTTCCTCCTCTGCTTTCTTCTCCGAGACCCACCAGCCCCCCGGCTCGTGCCGAGAAGGGAGCAACAGTGAGGCCGGCCCCGAGCTGGGACGTGGGAGTAGAGGACCCCGGGCCCGGGCTGAGCAGCACTCGGCGAGCATGGCGACTCGCCGGAGGTGAGAGGCCCCTCTCCCGCAGCTGGGAGATGAGCCCTTGGCTCGCCCACGCCGTCCTCACCCCAGAGACTGACCCAGTGAGGCAGAGGCGGCCCTCTCCGACTAACAGGGGCCGCCAGGAGCAACAGGGAGACACCCAGTGACCCACGATACCAAACCAAACCAAACCAAAAACCCCGCCCTGGAAGAGAAGCACCGAGCCCAACAAAGAGAACTGACATCTGAAGGAGCGGGTTAACGGAACGCTCAGGAGACTTTAAAAGTGTAATGGATACCCGCGAAGGAATAAGAACATTACACGGCAAGGCGCGCTGAAGGTTGTTACGGCAGCTAATGTAGATCCTGGAATTCGAGTAACGGCCAGTAAGCTTAGCAGTCTTTTCAACTCAGTCTGAGACAGGTCTGCCTGAAACTGCTCATCCGCTGTCTGAAACTGCTCCTTCCGTTCCATCCACCAGCCCCACACGTCAGCAAGGTAAACAGAACCGTGAGCGCGTTCGCTCGCCCACCACACAGAGCTGTGACTCCGTGAGAGGAGTGAGGGCGCTATTGCGGATTCGTGCTCTTGCTACCAGGGTGGCCTCGGGGTGCGAGGACCCTTCCACCAGGAGAAGCTTGCCTGGCCACTGCAAGGGACGAAGCCTTGACACATGATGTCAGCAGCTGTGGTCAGCAGTTTTCTCTGATGGGCCGTGGGTATGGCACCAGACTTTTTCCTTTTTTTTTTATTGCATTTTTTTGTTTACATTACCTTTGAGTCCCCTTACACCTACCTCCCATCAACATACTGCGCTTTCTAACACTGAATCCCTCGGGCACCCGCTGGGGTGTGGTTCATGAACTCACCTGTTCTTGACCACGTCCAAGATCATGGCTGAAACACAAGGTCGATGAGGGACTAGATTCTGAAGAAATTTTGAGCCTTGGAGAAGCTGAAGGTCCTTAAAGCTTTTAAACACCAAAGCCTTTAAAAGGTCAAACACCTAATACAATGAAAGACATAAAAAAACGAAGCAGAAAGTGGTATCCCTGCGCCCGTTCCTGCTTGCTGCCGTATGCACAGCCCCAGGACAGCTGTCTCCCTAGAGGAGTGTCACACACACACTGTGACTCTTGCATGGGGACTGAGTGGAGGACAGGCCTTACCTAAGAGAGAAAATGGGCTAAAACCAACCCTGATATCACCCGCGAGGAGGGAACGCACGAGAGGAAGGGGCGAAGGGTTTTATCTTGTCATCCTTGCAACTTAGCTGGTGACATTAATTTCAACTGAAACGGGGACAATTTCTTGAAAAGCTACAACACAGTAAAACTGCCGATGAAGACTCAGCTAAACTCCCTCCCCGCTCTTGCAACCTGTACTGTGTGAGGTTTCCATCCCTACTCCCATGTCACCCCTGGCTCGCCAACAACAGGAAACGGAGGGCTGACCAGGTACCGAGTACCTGACACAGGCTCCGGGCAGCCCCCGACAGCGGTGTGGGCCCGCCCTCTGTCTCAGAGGACTCTGCTGCTGGCGGGGCCACGGTCGGATGGTTTAGGGAAGGATAACACAGAACAGAATAGAACAGAACAAACAGGCTCTGGTCCACCTGGTCAAGCACAGAAGGAAGCCCGCAGGCAGGCGATACCTGTTCCCGAAACCTCTGTATCCTCGTCGCGGAGAGCAGCAGGGCCACGCCGAAGGGACACACGGCAGCACAGTCCCCGTGCTGTCCGGCCTGGAACAACCACACAGCCATTGCTTACCTCTTAGACCTGCAGCACGGCCTATAAACAAAAGGTCCTGCCCTGGCTGGCGTAGCTCAGTGGCTTGAGCGCGGGCTGCAAACCAAGGCATCGCAGGTTCGATTCCCAGTCAGGGCACATGCCTGGGTTGCAGGCCACAGGCCACAGCCCCCAGCAACCGCACATTGATGTTTCTCTCTCTCTCTTTCTCCCTCCCTTCCCTCTCTAGAAATAAATAAAATCTTAAAAAAAAAAAAAAAAGAAACGCTATTTAAATAAAAAAAAGGTCCTTCCACGGGTCAGAAACCTACTACGTCAGGGCTAAAACTATAAAACTTTTGGAAGAAAACATAGCAGAAAATCTTCAAGACCTTGGATCGGGCAAAGATTATCCTCATACACAATGTTAATAGCAAACCTTATAGAAGAAAAAAATGAATAAATTGGACATGATCAGAATTAAAACTTTTTGTGCTTTAAAAGACACCTCTGAGAAAATGAAAAGACAAGCTACCAACTGGAAAAACATTTGGTGCATAAATCGAATTGACTTGTCTGGCTGCCTCCCTGCTGCAGTGGGAGGGCCGAGCGGCCGGACGCGGCGCCCAGCTCCTCCCGAGCGTGGCCGGCCTCCCTCAGGGCATGTCCTCGCTGACAATGTCTGACTTGACTCCAAACGCAAGGAAACACACCAGACCAACCCCAGGACGTGAGGCACCAAAAAGTTAGACTGGGTGCCTCGCTAAACCGAAAAGATGCTGAGGCTCGTTCTCAGGAGACGCAGGGGGCCCAGGCGTCATGACTCCCTCCCTCAACCGGCCCAGAGGCACATTGTGTGCGAGAGGGACAGTGCGATGGGGGGACGCGGCGAGTCCAGGTGAACGGTACACTGATGTTCATCCTGCTAAAGCACTTCAGCTCTTCTGTGGGTTAAAAACTTCAAAACGTGAGGTCGGAAGAAAAGACATCCTCGAAAGACTTTGAACCACTCCTGACTTTTCCCTTAGTGCTTCGAAAATATTTGATGAATTTCACAAAAGCTCGAAACGTCCTAGAAACGGGCGATACCCCAATTCATAAACGGGGAACAGGCCAGGGTGGAAGTTAACATGATGCAATAATGGGGCTAAGATCAAGTTTCCGGTTTCCTGCTGAACAGTTCTCCTCTCTTTAAAAACCAGAACATTCACAACGAGGCTTTAGAGTGGAACCTGCTCGAGAATGCGAGGCGCCACACGGTCCCCACTTCCGGAGTCAGACGAGCATCCCTGAGACCCGGGGCCTCCCACAGCGTCTCCCCTGCTCCCCGCCACTGACCGGCACACGAGAGGCTCCAGTCCGAACGCCCCTGTTCCTTGGGGACCCCAGGGCACCCCGAGAGTGTGGCGCTACCTTCAGGTGTTTCAGGAGCTCCCTGCCCAGCTCGCAGTCCAGCTGGATGGCGAACACGACGTGCAGGATGGCGGTGCCTTCCACGTGCCGGAGCTCGCCCGACGGCACGGTGACGAGGTCCAGGAGCCTGGAGGACCCAACAGACACGTGTGAGCAAGAAAGCGGTGCAGGCACTCCCGTGAGCGAGCGGACCGCTCGGGCCGAGCGCAGGGCCCTGCACCACAGGGCGTCAGGGCGTCAGGGTGGCAGCAAGCACAGGTGCCGCCGCCGCCTCATCCCCTGCTGCCTCTTGCAGCCAAACTTCTGGGAAGGTGTCTATGGTCCTTGTTGCCAATTTTTTACCTCTTCCCGGCTAAATCCAATTCGGTAAGGCTTCTGTCCCCACCCAACACATGCACACGATGCCACTATTACCGCAAGGGTTACTTACACCCACCTCTGGGTCACCAAAAGCAAGCGTCAGCCCCATTTTAACACCCTGGCAAATGCCACCCAGCTGACCACTCCTTTTTTGACATACTTTCTTCTCTTAGCTCCTGGGGCATCGTCACTGGTCTCTCCTTTTTTTTTTCTTTTTGCTGGTTCATCCTCCCTTTAAACGGTAGGATGCCTCTGAGCTCGGCCTTGCGTCTCTCCGTCCTATCTTCACACCTGCCTAGATGACCCATCTGGCTCTTCCAATCTGTACCCTGCCCTGACCTCCCCTGCAACTAGGACCGCCTGCTCTACACCTCCATACGGGATGCCGACGCGCACCTCAAACTGAACATGGTCCAAACGGAGCTTACTTCCCCCCAGTCCTACTTCCCCGGCCGTCCTTCCTAGGTGGACAAGATCACCTTCTAGTCAACTGCTCAGCCCAGCAACCGAAGGTCATTCTAGAGCAGCAGCAGCTGCAACAGGATTCACAGTGTGAATTCTGCAGCCAAACTGCCGGATTCAAAACCCAGCCCCACCACGCTATGGCTGTACGATCTAGGGAAACCCCTTAGTGTCTCGTTGCCTTGGTTTCTGCATCCATAAATAGAGACAAAATAAGGCTGCCGTGAGGTTTACCGGGCATGCACAGCACTGGCACAGATAGAGCACTCCTGGGCCACGCCGCCTCCTGCTCAGCACTAACTGCTCCTCTAACTTGAAACGTCCTTTCTCCCGGTCTGCACAGCCCGGCTCCCACCACTCCGCCTCCGGCGCGAACAGCACCTTCCTGGGGAGGGCGCCCCGGCCACCTGGTCCAAAGGAGCTGTGCCGCCACCTGACTCACATCACCGGCTGGAGTTACGTGCAGAGCACTCCCCACTCTAGTACGTTTCTTGTTACTTATTTCTGTTCTCTTCTCAATACAGTTGGAGCTCCACGAGAGCAGGGGCCTGGTCCGGCTGACCGACTCCCCGCTGCAGACCCAGGGCCGCACCATGCCTGGCGCACAGCAGACACTTAAGAACACACTGTTTCAAACCGAACCACTTCCAGGACGATTACTGCCATTTTCCCGGGAAGATGCAGACGGAAGAGTTGGGAGGACACACCACTCTTTTCACTGTATGACCGAGCAGCTAGGAGAGGATTCCTGAGTTCTGTGCTGGGAGGGGCAGGCGGGGGCCGAACGCCTAGGTAACAGTGAAGTAACTAAAACACCTAATGCGATTGACATGCAAAAATGATTTTGTTTCTGTGTTACTCACTCATCACCACTCTGCTCCTCCTTGTGCTGCTTATCCAGGTCGTTGAAGAAAGCTATGATTCCTTCCAAAACCCTCTTTCTGCTTCCCTGAAAAACACAAAACAGGTAAGGTCTCCACCAAAAGGGCAAGATCAGCAAGTGGAACTTTTCAGCTTTGAAGCTTCTCAAGTGTGAATTTAAGTAAACAAATTACAACCTAGAGTCACAGTAAGAATTTACAGGACACTTTCACGTTACAATGTGGTTTAAGCCCTGGCTCGTGTGGCTCAGTGGATTGAGTGCCAGCCTGTGAAGCAAAGGGTCACTGGTTCGATTCCCAGTCAGGGCATATGCCTGGGTTTCCGGCCAGGTCACCAGTAGGGGGTACTCCAGAGGCAACCACACATTGATGTTTCTCTCCCTCTCTCCCTTCCCATCTTTAAAAATAAGATCTTAAAAAAAAAACACAAAACTTTGGTTTGAAATACATCTTTATGCCAGACTATAAGGGGCTCATAGCCCACCCTGTGTGAGATCTTCACTCTTTTTATCGCACACACAAAAGACCCGTGGTAGTCAGTGCAAGACAGAGTGCAGCCTTGGCTGGGAGCACGAGCTTCCGACCAGATGGAACCATCAAACACACAAAGACAGCAACCACCCCCTCGCATGTGAGCCAAGAGCACAAATAAGCTGAATGGCCCTGACCGGTCGTTCCACCAGAGCTAAAGAAAAACAAAACAAAGATATTTTATTCATCATACCTTTGAAGAGAGAATCAAAAGCTGATAGACTAAAGGCGGTATCTCTTGAAGATTCAACTTGGAGAACATCTTCAGCACTTTCTGCGTCACGACTTCCGCCTCCTCTGCGGTCAGAGGCACGTCCCTGTGGGCAGAGATTCGGAAGGCCAGAGCCGGGTTACGCCGGCGCCTGACTTGGGAGATATTAGCATATTGTCAGTGCCCCTCTTAAATCTGCTTGAACAGAGAACCTTCAAGAAAACCAATAACCCTACCCAAGCCACGATGTCTTGGGGAAAAAATCACTAAATTGTACTTTAAGTGAGCGATTAAAGTAAAAAGGGGGCGGGGGTTGGGGGGAAAGGCTGGAACAGAAAACCAAGGAACCAGCGCCCTTCCTGGGCAGAGAGTGGGCTGCACCCGCGACCTTCCGGCGTCTGGCAGGGCAGTGCTCGGAGCAGGACAGGAGGAGAAAGGGAACCAGGACACACTCACCTGAACATGGCGGTGAGCTGGATCACATACTGCTGATCCCACCTGGTTAAAGATAATGACCAAGAATATGTAAGTCTATCTCATTTTCACTCATTTACATATTGCTTTATAAAATGAGTTATGATAAAAAAAATTAGGACCATTTCAAGTTTGACTTGGTACCACTGGGAAACAAGATCACAGGAATAACATTTGAAACAATGAAATAAATGGTTTTAACCTATCACTCTGGCAAAAATCCAACACTGATGATGTCCAATGCTGGTGAGATTTTGGGAAGCATGCCGGGGAGTGTATGCTGGTATCACCGTTCTGGGAAGACACGCTGACCATAACCATACCTACCAACTATAATGATACGCAGAACCACAGACCCACCCGCTTGCTATTGGAAACACATCCCGTGTACATGCACACAGGAGGTCACCCAGATACATGTATGTTCACTGCAACACTTCAGCCAAAAGCCAAATGTTACTTGTTGGGGAGAAAAAGTAATGTAACAATGGGATATTAGCCGAGTAACAGACCACCACAGAACTATTTCACAGATAGTGCAGAAGCGCACACACTGACACGAACAGCAGTGTTAAAGGAAAAATGCAAGGCACATTACGGTACGTGCTGAAGAAGCTCCTATGTGTAACTAAAAACAAACGAATTGATGGATAAACATACACGTGCTGCTACGTGCCTAAAATTATTTACGAAAAGGTATTACGTAAGGAGCCGTAACAGCGGCCACCCCTGGTTCAGACAGTCTCGGGTACGCCCTCCTGCTTCTCTGTAATGCGCTCGTGTGTCCCCACGGGATTACACAATGTGGTATTCGCTTTCTTTTTCATCGACCATGGAGTAACATTTTTCATTTTCGAGGTACGTCTTTACACATTTCATTTTTAATGGGTATAAATTTCGTGTCTCTGTTATTGTATGCTTAAGTTGGTCACAAATTCCTGTGCTGAATATGTTCACGTATGAGAATTTTCTTTTATGTTGGACTCTTTTCTTACGGTAATTCCCATGGTTCTGGTTTAAAGATACAAACATCACTTATATATTCAACTCCCTCAGAAAAACATAAGAGCTGCAGCCACAGGGTGACTTCCCAGCCCTGAGGACCTCAGGACTCAAACATGATAGAGACTGAACTGCTCTGTCAAGACAGACTGCCGGATGAGTTGAAATTATAGGTCTAATCTTAGAACAAAGAACACAGTAGATGACCTCTCAAGAATCCATCCCAGACTACGTGGTTTTAGACAAGTAGCACATTATAAACGGACTTAAAAACTTCAGTGACATGAAGTTCTGACACAAGTGATAATTCTTTCACTTGGACACGTGGAGTCCTGAGAAAGTTCTACACGTTACCCAGAGAGACTCACCTGGCAGAGCAGAGGGCGTTAATCAGCTGTGTCTTGCATTCTTCCCCGCTCAGTTCATCTGGAAACGCAAAAGACACTGAGAAATGAATTTAATTACGTGAACAGACAAAACGCCACTGAAATGGGAAGAAAGTTACCTTTTCCATAAGCCAGACTTTCCTTTTTGGTAACGAGGGCGGCGAGAACGATGGGTAGTAACTCCAAAGACTTCCCATTCGCTAGGCTGCCCTTTCTGATTGCGCCAACAAACTCGTTGGCTAACGCAACTAGGGATGGTCCTGGAAAAGCGTGGGCCTGCAATTTCACGGGGATAAAGAAAATATTAAGCAGAAATCTAAACGTTTGTTCTTTGTGAGAAAGAGTTCTTCGCTGAATTGCTAGAACTCGCAATGAAAGCCGAACTGATCCTCTAAGGGAGTCAGGGTACCATTCTGCTCTGGTACAAACTCATAACTATAAAGGACTGCAAAGGCCAGAGACCTCCCCCAGTTCCCCCATGTGTTCAAACATAGCAGCTCCTCAAAGAGATACAGTCCCTGACGCCAGAAACGCAGTGGAGACATCTAGGTGGTTAGCGGCCTTCTAACCACACACAGGAACTGTGCTGGGCTCGGCCCATTTGGTTTCCCTTCCTCGGCAAATGACACCCCCGACAATCTACCCCGAAACCAGTTTTGTCCCCCACCTCACCTCCAGCATCAGCAGCCCTATGATCTCAGATGCCACTTCTTTCTGCAAATCCCCAGATTCCACCAACTGGATACAACAAATGTATATCTTTAGTCTCCTGTGAGCTCCCGCTTCCTCAGAGCAGGGGGAACCTTATGGTTTTGAAGAGGAATACAGAAACGAAAAAGGAAAAAGTCTTACAGGGCTGACAGGTAAATAAATAGGGCAACATCCGGCTGTGTCGTTTAACACAGAAACAGAACGATGGAAATCCTGATGACCATGGTGTTTAGGACAGAACTGTTCAGGAGTTTTGGGAAAGCGATTCAGGCAGCATGCGCCAGAAGCAAACGAGTCTACCAATGGCCACCCCCCCACCCGCCCCAACTCTCTCACTCTGATTACCTCTGAAGAGGGCCCTCAGCAGGGCTCCCACAGCTCTGCCCCTCACCGCCTCCTTCCGGAGCAGCTTCGCCAGCTGCAAAGAAGCAAAACACTGCAAGTCTCTGGCAACAATCTCTTTACCCCAATGACCTAAACTCCCCATGTGAACAAGACTCGTCAGGTCCACACCCTTCACAGACTGCAGGGATTAAAAACGATTATTTATTGAGATCGACCAGGGTAGATCGTAACACGTCGCCAGGCTGTTGAGACTGAAATGTATTCAGACAACAAACATTTATAGAGTATTTAACCAGCACTAAGTATTGAGCAACGTTCCCGGGCTATTCACTCAACAAATATTTAGGGCACGTTCTTTTTCCTTGGCTCCAGGCCCACAGGATGAACAAGATGAACGTGGCTGTATGACTCAGAGAGTTTACAGCAGAGCAGGAAGGGAAATGGCGACAGAAAAAAAATTCAGAAAACAATATGTGTAAAGGGAACAAACCGAAGGCTCAGACAGACAATAACTGCAGAAAGGGAGAGAGAATTTCGGCTCGACTGGGTAAACCTCAAGGAGGGATTCTTCTCCATGCCGGGATCTGAATGAGCTGAGATCAATTATTATTGTCCCATTTCATAATCACATACTTCCAGCGAAGACAGGTCGGTATTCTCTTTCTAGTAATTTCAAATATTTTACTGCTTATAAATTTATCTTCTTGAGGGGAAATGGAAGGAAGGAAGGAAGGAAGGGAGGGAGGGAGGGAGCGAGGGAGGGAGGGAGGGAGGGAGGGAGGAAGGGAGGAAGGGGCACCAATAGGCAAATCTAATGTCTCAGTGCCTGTGGTCTGGACATGATCTCCGAACAGGGCTGCTCTAAGGACCACAAAAGCACACTCATGTGCTCACATGCATACAGCTGCAGAAATATTACTTAAAGGTTATACAGTTGTATAAATGTACACAAATGCCCTTAAGTGGTCCACTTCTCGCCCTCACTTCTTTACATCTGTGAACTGTCAGCACTGAAGTCCTTGTCTCCGAGGGGGGTGGGGAGTAGAGGACGTGGCGGAATAACTGTTCTGTGACCTTTGAATGTGTTGTCGCGCTTGCCATTTGCTTTCAGCACAGCAGGCTTCCCCGTACTCACATCGTCTTCCCCCAGGGTTTGAAGAAATTCCCGCAGCCTGCCTGTTGCTTTTTCTGCTGCGAGAGACAGAATTTCCTGCTCCATCGCTGCACATACCAAGGCACTGAAAGGCAAAAAGTCAAGAGCTGATGAGACTCGCGGAAATAAACAAGATTTTTTTTTTCCTTCCATGCCTGTTACCTGAGTATTTCACAGATATCATGGGCAACATACACAGTGGGTACTCACAGGCTAAGGACTACTGTATAGTATGAATGGGTGATTCTTATCCAAACAAAATCATCTCAAGAATTCCCTGGAACATCCTTATTAAAAACTTATTCTAATCAAGTGGATTCATAACTTTTTTTAAAGATTTTATTTATTTACTTTTAGAGTGGGAAGGGAGGGAGATACAGAGAGAGAAACATCAATGTGCAGTTGCTGGGGGTTATAGCCTGCAACCCAGGCATATACCCTGGCTGGGAATCAAACCTGCGACACTTTGGCTCGCAGCCCACGTTCAATCCGCTAAGCTATGCCAGCCAGGGCTGATTCGTAACTTTTTGGCACCTACCCAGAACACTGCCTAGAACAGAGCTATCACTTAACACTATGTCAAGTACATAATTATTATAATATATAGACAAAAACATGTATGATAAACATAAAGTCATATTTGATAAGTAAAAAAACAAACAGCATTGTAAATGCAAAGGCTAACACAATGGCATAAAAAAGGTTAAAGGAATAAATGTGTTCAAATCTTCCCTGCAGAGGAAAGCTGGTACTAGAGGCTAAATCTATGTAGTCAAGTTAAACACTGGTGTTCATTATCCACTGTTGGGAAGGCGAGTATCATCAACAAAGGCATTCATAGAAAAACTTCTTTGGGGAAAAAAAAGACTGTCGGAGGGAAAGAGTTCAAGGAGAGGAGTATGGAGGAGGAAGGCTATAAAGACAGGTTGGGAATAAACTGGGAAAGATGTCAAAATACCAGGTCAAGGAATTTGGATTTTATTCTGCAAATAACAGAGTCTCTTTTGGTTCCAACGAAAATCTTTGGAGCCAAAGAGAACCTGACAAACTCGAGACAACATTTGAAGAAACTGAAACGCACCCACGCGAAAGGAGCAGAGACTAGGAGGTCCTGGGGCTATTTTGGTGGCAGCGACAGCGGCCCGAATTAGGGTTCAGGGAAATGTCTCGGGGTAAACGCTGATCCTCGCCGGGGGGGGTGGGGTGGAGGCGGGGGGAGAACTGAACGCGAGAGCTTGTGTGTCACACACCCCGAGAGGAGGGAAGAAGCCGCGAAAGCCCGGGGACGCAGCGCACGGCGACCTTCCAGGCCACAGAAAGCACCGGACATCACCGCGGAACGGGCCCCTCCGCCCTCGCAAACCCGCGCCCTCGTCCCCGGGGCTGAACCGCACCGCCCCAGCCGCGCGTGAAGCCTGTCTGCTCCGTTACCTGGACCTCACCACCACCGCCGCTGCCGCCGCCTTCCAAAACTCCCGCGCAATCCACGCCCCCGCACTTCCGTCGCTCGGGACAACAGGCCCCGCCCCCGCGCCTCGCTTCCGCCGCCGGGCGCTCGCGGTGGGCTGTACCATGAAGGCAGAGGGGGACGAGAGAGCCGACAGGAGACCTCGGACGTCTCCATTCACAGTCGGGGGCGGGGGGAGGCGCGGCTTGAGAACTCGAATGCGGGTCCGCAGAGCGAGCATGCGCAGTGTGGCCTGGCCCCGCGGGTCTTCACCCTGGAAGGGCCTGGAGGGCAGAGGCCGATGTCCTGCTCCTGGTGCCATCCGAGGTGCCAGTAACCGCTTTGCTATAAGCTGCGCGGGGCCGGGGCTTTTCGTTGGTCCCCATGAGAAACCCCAGCGTTCGGTACATAGCGTGGGAAAGCAGTGCATGCTCAGTATGTGTTATATGAACGACAGTGGGGCCGAGAGTCTCTCGTCTATTCCTGCCTTCATGAGGATGATTTCAGGTCCTTCTGTCTTCTCCGTAACTCTCGACAGATGACCTCAGTTTTCCCATCAAATCTGTAAGGTCACCGTTATCAGCAACGATCCTTTCCTTCCGCTTCCCGGAGCGATGGGACGAGGTTCAGGTGTCCAGGCCCAGGACCACTGGGTCCCCCTCTTCCATCTTCTCAGCGAGGACCTTATGGACATTTAACTTGCAAATACTCTTTGAAGAAGCATGCTGATCGATTTGCTTGTTCCGTGCCTCAGCGCTAGAATCTCTGGCAGCCGCCAACCCCCACCTGTCCCAGGGCAGACCTGCCTCCCTTGCAGAACCAGCATGCTGTGCCTCCCAGAGGAACTGGAGCTTTGGAGAGAGAGGCCGTGGCCAGCTAGCCTGTACAGGACAGGACGCTCTCCTTACTGCTGTGTAATGTTAAGGAAGGTGCAAAATGTCCATGGACCTGGGTTTTCCCAAATCTCAAAGGAGAGGTTGAGGCCTGGACATTCCCTACGGTCCTCCCTCAAAGGCAGTGGCCAGACTCCTGCCCCCTGGGGCTGCTCCCAAGAAAGTGAGGTGGCATCACCTTCCCCAGGAGCCAGGGACAGCTGAGACTTCCCTGGGCAGTCCCACCTGTGTGGCTCTCGCTTCCAGACCAGGGGGCAGCTGTGGGTGCTGAACAATGGGAGAGCTTTAGAGTGACCGCCTCTCTACTCCTTACCAGCTGTGTGGCTTTAAGCTCAGTCCCCCGTTCTGTAAAAGAGGGGGGATCATCCTCTCTGCCTCACATCTGGAAGGACTGGATGCAATGATGCTGATAAGGCCCTTGATACAGTACAGAATGCAGGCGCAGCGAAATTGGACGCCCTCCTCCCCTGCCTCTAGCCTGGCAGAGCGCCCCTGGGAGCCCACAGCTGCCTGCCAACGGGGCCAGCACAGGTGTCCGGGCCAATGAGGGCAGCGTCTCTCACACAGTGGCACTATTGTTCCAGTCAGAGGAGCCAGACACGAACGTGACTCTTGGGGTGTGGGGGTGGGGGCGGGCAGGGCAGAGGCAGGAGAAGAGCCGTGAGCCCTGCTCCCTGTAAAGGGCCTCGTGGCCTGCGAGCACCCTGAAAAGCTCCATGCAGGCCACTCCGGTCAGGATGGTGGCATGAACTCAGAGGTGTTCTTGGTGCACAAGAATGTCCTTCTTGGCGCTGGAGCCCCTCGCCCAGCTTTGACAGAGACTCTTCCGGAGCCTCTGTGCTTCCGTCCCATGGGGCAGCCTGAGCTCTCCAACTGCCCCTGCCCCCCACCCTGATTATCTCCCTGTGAAGTGCCTGGGGGGGAAATGCAATATTCCACCTCTGTTAGTTTGCTAACGCTCTTATAACACAGCACTACAGCCTGAGGGGCTTCAACAACGGGCACTCACTTCTCACAGTCCTGGAGGCTAGAAGCCCAAGATCAAGGTGTCAGCAGGGCTGCTTCTCCCGAGGCCTCCCTCTCTCCTTGGCTTGCAGGCGGCCGTCTCAGGCGGCCGTCTCCTTCCTGTGTTTTCACACCGTCGTCCCTCTGTGCATCTCTGAGATCTCCACTTCTTATAAGGACACCAGTCATATTGGATTAGGGTCGCCCCGATGACCTGAATTAAGGTCACGTACCTTCATTACCTTTAAAGATCCTATCTCCAAATACAGTCACATTCGGAGGTACTAGGGGATAGGACTTTAATACATGAGTTTTTTTTGGGGGGGGGGTGGCACAGTTAGGCCGATAACACCATTTTCCAGGTGTGGCGACTGAGGCCTGGAGGGGTTCACAGCCGTAGCAGGCAGGGCCGGGCCTGGAATCAGGTCCGCAGACCCTCTCTCTCTGTCCTCCTTTCTCTACGGTCCGCACGCCCAGCCAGGCAGTTCTGGGGGCCGGGGTCTAAGGGCCGCACTTCAAGGAACAGCAAGGTCAAGAGCAGCCCTGTCGGTTAGGAATATACCGGGAGCCATTAAATTAAACCGAAATTGGAAAAATTTACATTTTTCTAATAGCCCTCCCTGTCCCCCCGAAAAGTCAAAAGAAAACACGTGAAATGAATGCTAACATATTTTTAACCCAATATATGCAGAATGTTATCATTTCAGAACATTAAGCCATATAAAGCTCTCATCAATGAAAAATGTTACACTCCTTCCTTTCTACTAAGTCTTCAAAATCTAGTCGGTAGTTTATAATTACTCGTACAGCATGTCTCACTTGGGACTCTCATCAGAAACACGTGATCACAAGATTTCCAGTTGGGAAAGTAGAATTGCACACGTAAGTTGTTCCAAACTCACTTTCCCCGTGCCTCCTGTCTGTCTCATCCTGGGGGGTGACCGCCAGAGCCCGCTGCACTGAGGGAGGGGGCAGGGAGGATGGGATGGGGCTGGCCCAGATCCCACCCCCCAAAGCACAGCTTCCACTTGGCTGAGCAGGAGCTCTGAGCAGAGCACACACAAAGGAAGGCTTTGAGGCGGCCCCAGCCAGAGCCGGGCCGATCCCCTCTCCCCTTCCATGCTTCGCTTGCCCCAGTCTGGGCCTCCCGGGAGCCCGATTTAGCCGGAAACCTGGGCCCTGAGAAGTTCCTTGTGACACACTAATCCCAGCCTGTGGACTGGACCATGCCCCTCGTGGAGGCAAACTCCAGGGCTCCCAGAGGACTCAGGCAACCGGGGGCCCCAAGGAGGAGCTGCCCACCCGGCAGGTAAGTCAGTGCCGAAGGCGGGGGGGGGGCGCCTGGCTGGGCCGGGGAAGCCCAGGACTGGGGTGAGGAGTCTGGGGTGGAAGGGGCCACAGCCCAGACACCTGTATCACGGAAACCAACGGGCTACTTTCCAGGATGAACCAAACCCATCTGATGGCAGATTTAGCAAATAAATGTGAACTGAATGTGCATGTGAATGTAAATTTGACATTTCAGACGAACAAATACTTTTGAAGTATCAGTCTGCCTTGTGCAACATTTGGGACCTACTTAAACTTGCAAAATGTTTGTCGTGCATCCAAATTTCCCCTGTCATTGTGCATTTTGCATATTATCTGGCAACCCCAGACAGCAGGGGTCAGCCCACACTGGAGGGAGGGGTGGGTACGTTTTCACTGTACACAGCTCATAAATCAGGGCTTAAAAAAAACAGCATTAATAGATTGGGCCTACTTTAAAAAGTGTTATTACTGCACTGAGTGTCATTCTCTGTTCCTAGGACCTAGGCGCTTGTCCGGCCGATCCGCTGCCCGCTGGGGCTGTCTGGCTGCCCTGCCTGCTGCGTGAGCTCCTGAGGTACTGCTCTCGGCCTTTCCACGCCTGTTCTTGAAAACCCAAGTGGGAGCATAGCTGTACTTTGTCTGCCTGCCCCCGTGCTGCAGGTCTGGGGGTCTGCTCGCCAGTGAAGGGGCTTAACTTTGGTTCCCATGGGTGGGTGAGGGCTCTCAAAACGTCCCTGCCCTGGCTGGGGCTGCATGGAGTGAGAGAGGCAGGAGAGCGGAGACCCTCAGATATTCCTGGCTGTCAGACTGGGGTAGTGGTCCGTGTGACGTCAGGAAAGGGAAGGGGCGCTGTGGGTCAGAGCAGAACACCGTGCTGGGCGCCTCACGGAAATCCTGTGGTTGGTCTTCATCACAGCTCTGTTCGGTAGGTACGGTTATTTTCCCGGCATGGCAGATGAGGAAACTGAGGCTCGCAAAGGCTAAATAGCATGCCTAAGGTCACACAGGTGGTGAATGACAAAGCCTGATTCAGACCCAGGTGTCTCTGACCCGGAAGGGCTTTCTGTGCGGCCAGCTCAGCTCACCCCGGGGAGCTTGCCTGGGGATGTTTTGGTTCCAGGAGTCCAAGCAGTTCTGGTGTCAGACGGACAACGGGTCAAGTCCCACCTCTGCCACTTCCTCGTGGCGCCAGGGTGGTCCCTGAGGGCCCTGGGGATATTCAGGTGGGAGAGGGGGAAATCCAGAAACAGAAAGCTGTCTCCAAAAGGACTCCGTGGGTGAGCAGGCCAGAGGTGCGCTCTGGGGGGCCTGCAGTACCTCTGTGTCCATTATTTAATTCATCTCCCAAAACCTGCCCGTCTCCCTTTCAGAGACGACCCAGACTCGGGTTACATCACACAGCCTGAAAGTGGAAGAGACAGACACTAAACCCAGGTCTGACTTTCTGCCACAGCTGCGCTGCCTCTGGGTGCTGAGGGAAAGTCGCTGCTTGGGCTCCCGATCCCTGGCTATTCCTGGGGGTGTAGCCTCGGACAAACATGTATTCTCCTGAGCCCGTTCCCTCGTGCGTGAGATGGGAATTGTAATACCAACCCAGGCTCTGAGATAGTGGTCTTGAAGATACTTGTGTGTCGCAGAGCAGAGAGCACACACACGCAGTGTGATGGTCACGCAACTGGCCATCACCCCTCCTGAGGGGCAGGTGCTGGGCCAGGGGCCCCCAGGAGGCTGGGGAGTTCCTGAGCCCCTCACCCCACTCCCCACTTTGGGCTGGGGCGGGAGGCCTCAGGTGGAAGAGGGAATGCCTTGTCCTGCGTCTTAAGAACTGAGGTTTCTGAGTGGTTTTTGCGTGGGTTCCTCCTAAGAGGAGTGTTTCTCAAAGTGTAACCGGAGAATCCTCCCTCTTCCTCAGAGCCACCTGGGCTGCTGCCTCAGAGCCCCGCCTCCTCGTCAGCTCGCAGGGTGCAGGGCCCAGGCCTGCGAGTTTCCAGCAGACGCCCTGGGCGACTGCGGTGCCTGTGAGAGTTTGAGACCCATCGCTCTGAGACAGTATCAGGACCTCCCCATACTGCTGCAGCCCTGACTTCCTCTCCCGGGGAAGGGGACGCCTGGACAGGCCAGGACCGAGGAGGAGGGCCTGCTTTCTCCGAGGACAAGGACTCCGTCTCCTAGAGCAGCATGTCAGAGGGGGTGAGTACCCCTGCGGCCTGGGGCTGTGCTCCTTCCCCCTTCCCTCTCTCCCTCCCTGGTCTTCCCACAGTTACTGGAACTCACCCCTACAACCGCTCTGTGGTCCTGGACCCCACGCAAAGGGAGGAGGCCTAACAGCCGCCTTGAGCGAAAGCACTCGTACAGGGTCTGAGCAGGCCACGTGCTTGGCTTGCTCAGGCCGATGGGAACCGGTCACTGCTTTTTCCCGACCCCTCTCTGCCAGGCGGGCACCTTCCGCGTGGTCCCTGAAGAGGAGCAGGAGCTCCGGGGCCGGCTGGAGCGGCTTACAACCAAGGACCATGGGCCTGTCTTTGGCCCGTGCAGCGAGCTGCCCCCCCACACCTTGCAGAAGGTGAGGCGGCCTGGGATGCAGGGGGAGGCGGGCCCCAGCTCTCCATGTCATCCCGAACTTAAAAGACTGGCCCGTTTGAGGGGCGGTCCTGAAGGTCACGGCCATGGCAGCACCTAGCTGACCAGACAGCAAGGCCACCCGATCCAAGACTACAGCACCAATGGGGTCCTGGGGCCCCTGACCGGGATCGTCCTAGGCTCTGAGAGTAGCAGTGCTGCTTGCACGTGGCCCTGGGGAACAGGGTCCAAATGCTGCCCTCACTGGATAGGCAAGAGGCCCGAGTTCGAGACTCGGATCTACTTCCAACTTGCTGTGTGACCTGGAGCAAACGGCTTTCCCTCTCTGGGTCTTGTCTTCCGAATCTATATAAACAAACGGTTGTGGGACCAGCTCAGAAGCTCTGTCGGGACTGGCAGAGCTGTCTGGGGCTGAGCTGAGCTGGGCTCGTGGCTTCCATCTCTGCTTCCCCCCGGGCAGCCCAAGGGACCAGTGCTCTGAGCCCCGCCCCCCCCGACCTGAGCCCCCTGCTTTGGCTTCTCTTCTCACGCCCCCCCCAAAGGGGAGGGCTGCTCGGGACACGCTGAGTTCTCCAGCCCCCCCCCCCGGGAGGCGTGTGAAGCTTGGGGGGCAGCGCAGGCTGCTCTATGGCCCGTATCTCCGTTTTTTAAAAGATCAGAATGAAGCGCGGGAGGCAGCAGAGCCAAGTGGTTAAAAGCCCAGCCCTAGTAGGACTTTTCATTAATTCCCAACTCCGCTCCTTTCCATCGGGCTGACCTTGGGCAAGGATAGCTTCACTCCGGAACCTCGGTCTGCTCATCCTGAGACAGGGGCAGAAGAACACCGACCTCAGGGAGATGGGCTGTGGCAAAGAAGGAAAAACACAGCGCATTTAAAGGGTTGGGCGGGGCGCTAACCAGGGGCTCCCGTAAGTGTAGCGGTTACGATGGAGAAACATTGGGACCTTTGGCTAGCTCCTGCAAGCGAGCGCAGTCGGACCTAATTTCCTCCAACACGAACGCGGCCCTGTGGGCGGAGCAGCGTCGGCCCAGCTCCGGCCCCACCCCTCGCGACACCTGTGACTTCCTGCTTCCACCCAACTGCAGGCCAAGGACGAGCTGAACGAGAGGGAGGAGTCTAGGGAGGAGGCGGTGCGAGAGCTGCGGGAGCTGGTGCGGCAGCAGGCGGCCTCGGGGCAGGAGCTGGCCTGCGCGGTGGCGGAGAAGGTGCAAGGCCGGGACAGCGCCTTCTTCCTGCGCTTCATCCGCGCGCGGAAGTTTGACGTGGGGCGCGCCTACGAGCTGCTCAGAGGTGAGGCCCGCGCTGGGGAAAGAGCGCTGGGAAGGGTGTGGGGTGGGGGAGCGGGGTTATGAGGACGGTGCGGACCCTCACGCAGGCAGCCACCGACTAGAGCGACCCCTCCACGTCCCTCCCACTCCCTGCCCTGCGCAGGGCTCTGAGCCCCGCTGTCCTGACCTGTGAGACTGGTCTGGGGGATCCCGCTCAGCTCCCGCAGTGAATGAATGAGGGGCGTTGGACCAGATTCCCAGAGTTTGGGCCCCTCTCTCTCTCTCAGACTTAGGGTTCAATGAGTAGAATTGAGTCACCCAAATTGGGTGCCCAAGGAGGGGAGGAATCCCCTGCCCCCACCTGTCAGCCCCCACCCCAAGGCTAGGCTTTGGCTCTGGAGCGCTGCAGGGAAGGGGTGCTTGTGGTGCCTGGCTCTGCGCAGGCACCTGAGCCTCATGCAGAGAGCGGAGATGAGGACAGAGCCAGTCCTGGGAAGGAGCCGGGGACTGGCCCTGCTGGCTGGGCGCGGGGTGACAGGGTCCCTCGGGAAACGGGTCCTTGGTGCTGGCGGGGGGACGGGGTCTGAGCACACCCTCTGCAGGCCGACCGGTGGCCTTTTCTTGCCCACCCCTCCCTCCCTCCCTCCCTCCCCTCCCTCCTTCCCTCCCTCCCTTCCTTCCCTACCTACCTCCCTTCCTTCCCTACCTCCCTCCCTTCCTTCCCTCCCTTCCTCCCTTCCTTCCCTACCTTCCTTCCTTCCTTCCCTACCTCCCTTCCTTCCCTACCTTCCTTCCTTCCCTACCTACCTCCCTTCCTTCCCTACCTACCTCTTTTCCTTCCCTACCTTCCTTCCTTCCCTGCCTACCTCTCTTCCTTCCCTACCTCCCTTCCTTCCCTGCCTACCTTCCTTTCCTACCTGCCTCTCTTCCTTCCTTTCCTTCCTTCCTTTCCTCCCCTACCTACCTTCCTTCCTTCCTTCCTTCCTTCCTTCCCCAAATGTCCATTCACTTCCCTGTGTGCCATCTGCTGTTTCCGGCCACAGGGTGCTGCAGAGAACATAGCAGGCAAGAACTGCCTGCCCTCAGGGACTGGGTATTCTAACGGTGGAAGGAGTAAAGCGGATAAAACAGAAGTCTATAGAGTGTTAGACAGTAAGAGAGGATAACGATAAAAAGTAAGGGAGGCGGAGATAGAGCATTGAGGGGTTGAAGTTTTAGGTAAAGTGGAAGGCCTTGGTACGAAGGGGAGTTTTGAAGAAACACCCGAAGGAAATGAGATGTGGGCGGGCGGGCAGAGTGGTGGGGACCTAGGTGGGGGCAGGACCGAGGCCAGGTGATGGGGGACCTGGAGCGGTGCAGGAGGCTGGTGGCATTCCCTCAGCAGACTCTCCCGACCACCTGCTCAGGCCTGGCCCCGCCAGGGGGGTGGTGGACTCAGCAGCAGAGCAGTGGGGACCTGGCCAGGACGGGCCACGATGGCGTGGGGGTGGAGGTGGTACAAATGCTGCTCCCGGGCAGGGCCTGAGTCCTGCCTGGGCTTTGGACTTCATTCCAACACTCCCCCCTCAGCTCTCACCCCTCGCCCCCTGAGAAACCTGCGCCTCTGCCCACGGGAGAGAGAAAGGACCAGTAACCGTTGTCCTCAGGTTCCGGGTTACATACACCTCCCCCGCCGGCCACTTAACAAACAATGCTCATGCCTAGAATCTCATCTGATTACTGAGACAGTTATCCTTGGAAGGTAGTGTGTCCTGCTCGGTCACACACGGGCGCCTGGGTCCCACCCCAGGGTGGGCTGGCTCCCTGAGGGCTCCTCTGTGTGTGCCCCCCCCCCCACTGCACCAGGCTACGTGCACTTCCGGCAGCAGCACCCCGAGCTCTTCGACAGCCTATCCCTGGAGGCGGTCCGCTGCACCATTGAGGCCGGCTACCCCGGGGTCCTGTCCAGTCGGGACAAGTACGGCCGAGTGGTCATGCTCTTCAACATCGAGAACTGGGACTGTGAAGAGATCACCTTTGACGAGGTCCGTGGTGGTAGGGGGCTCTCCTGGCTCTCTCCCACCCTCTGGGCTGGCCCCTCCCCCAGCCCTGGCCTCTCCTGGGCTCTCACCCCTGGCTCCCTAGGAGGCGACACCTGTGGGAGAGGGTAGCAGGCGGCCAGTGCCACCAGGCCCATTCCAGGCAGGGCAGGATTCCTAGGGTGTGCTGGGGCGGCTGGCAAACCCAGCGGCTTTGTAGGCGGGGCCCACTGGCCAAAACACGGCTGCCCCCTGCTGTCCCTGCCAAGTGTGGGGTGACCGCTGTGGGCCACGGGCTGGGGTCAGCACTGCCCACTGCTGAAAGCTGAGTGACGCACAGAACAGGGAGAGCCCCGGCTGCAACCTGTTCAGCAGAAGTCATGGCTGGCCCGACCCTTCTGCACGTGTATGTAGGCAGTATCCCCCAGCAGGCCCTTGAGGGAGCTGCCCTGTGTCCACACAAACACATGTTTTCTCATAAATTTGGGGCAAGACCCTACAATGATATACCACAGAGTGAACATTTTCCTATACATTACAGTCTTAGACAGTTTTTAACTGCTCCAGAGCAGTCTACGGCACGAATGCACCATCATTTCACCAGTCCCTTAGTTTGGGACGTTATAAGGGTCCAGGGATCAACACTCTGGCATCTAACCATGGACGTGCCATGCAAGGTCATTTCCTTGGGACACTTTCACGAGGGGAATATGCCCCAGGTCTCAGCCTGTGACAACTTAACCTCTGACAGGGGTGGACCAGTTCGCTCTCCCCTCGGGCCCGTGATCTTTGGGGGTTCGGTCTGGCAGCCTGTTCGCTCCCTGCCCAAGATCTTGCAGGCCTATTGTTTCATCCTGGAGAAGCTGCTGGAGAACGAGGAGACTCAGATTAACGGCTTCTGCATCGTGGAGAACTTCAAGGGCTTCACTGTGCAGCAGGCTGCCGGGCTGCGGGCTGCGGACCTCAGGAAGATGGTGGACATGCTCCAGGTGGGGCCCCGGAGCGCTGCCCCGTGGGCCGCTCACCGGGTGGGAGGCTGGGGGGCCGGCCCGGGGGTCCCGGTTGGATGGTGCCACCACTTGGTACTGCAAAGGGCAGTGACAACCACAAACGCTCGGTGATCAGCACTGTGCCAAGTGTGCACACTGACTGATCGATTTTCCCCAAGAGAACATTCTCGTGGCTTCTTGCTTCATTTCAAAAACCGACACACTGAGGCTCAGAGACTTGCGTGACGTCTCAAGGTCACAAAACTGTACAGTGGCAGGGAGGCAGGGGCCTGAATTCCCATTCCCAGCCCATATTTGTCATGCCGCCTCTCTCTTTGAAGTGAGTTTGTCCTGGGAAAGGAGATCGCTGACTCCTGACAGCTCACTCCTCTTAGGTCAGAAGTCCTCCCCTGGAGCTCACCTGAAGTCGGCTCTATGTGCACCTGGGAGAGGGTGGGGGGAGGGGAGGCCAGGGCCGCGGGAGGGGGTGAAGGGCAACGAGGCGCGACAGTGGTGTCCCTGCGGTCCACAGCAGTTTGCAGTCTGCCCAGCGGGCAAGTGCGTTTGAAAAACGCAGCCCCCTTCAAACCAAGCAAGGCTGCCAGTTCATTTCCTCACTCCACTGAGGCGCAGGATTTCACACACCCGCTGGGAGAGGGAGAGGGTTGGGCTGCGTGGCCTCCCGCTGTTTGGAGCCCCACAGGGAAGCCAGGGCTCCCCCCAGTGGGTGGCCTGGGGCTGGAACCTTCAGTGGGCCCCCGGGAGAGGCAGTGGGGGTCACTGGGGCTGCGGGGTGGGACGCTCTCTGTCGCCACAGGATTCCTTCCCAGCCCGGTTCAAGGCCATCCACTTCATCCACCAGCCGTGGTACTTCACCACGACCTACAACGTGGTGCGGCCCTTCTTGAAGAGCAAGATGCTCCAGAGGGTGAGTGCCTGGCAGGCGCAGGGGTGGCACTCAGGGATTGGCTGGTGAAGGGGCGGCGCTCAGGGATTGGCTGGTGAAGGGGCGGCGCTCAGGGATTGGCTGGTGAGAGCAAGAGTGAATGGGGCTCTGGCAGGAAAGGGTTCATGAGACAGGAGGGATGAGGGTAGGGGGTTGAGGGGTCCCCCCAGAGCTCCCCTCAGACTTTTACCATAGTCCCTAACTACGTGGATCCCGCAGACATCACAACAAGGAGGACTGTGCAGAGGGGTGTCACCAGGCAGAGAGAGGTCACACTGCATCTTTGTCTGCCCCTGGACCCCTCCTCCTCAGGGCCACCTCCCCACTCAGCTCTGTCCCCCTTTCCTTTCCTGCAGGTCTTCGTCCACGGAGATGACCTCTCCGGCTTCTTCCAGGAGATTGACAGGGACATCCTGCCCACTGACTTTGGGGGCACGCTGCCCAAGTACGACGGCCGGGTCCTTGCTGAGCAGCTCTTTGGCCCCCGGGCCCAAGCCGAGAGCACTGCTTTCTGAGGATGCCGCCTGCCACCTGCCCTGTAGTCAGCATCCCTGGGCCTCGCCCCGGCTGTCCTGGACCCAGCAAGCTGGACAAGGGCTGCGTGGGGTGACTGAGGTTCCCCTGACCCTCCCTAAGCTTGGGGGGGGGCAGTAAGGCAGGGGGAATTCACTTGAACCAGAAGAACTGGGAGCAGTTCCATTCCTACGGACTTTGAGGCTTTAGGACACTGGTTTGTGTGAGGTTCTTTCAAAGACCCTAAGTCTCTTAGTGATTCGATTTCCTTCCTAACGGGGTTTTGCTGCTTAGAGTCTGTGAGGACAGGCAGGGAGGGAATCTGAGAACACACGATCTGACAGGCACCGGCGCCTCGGCAGCTCCATCCTGGGGTGGCCCGCCCCCGCCCCCCCAGGTCAGGCGCAGTCTGACGCGTGTGCAGTGATGATGGCCAGGACCCTGGGCCTCCTTCCAGGGTGGCAGCTGTGTCCCCTCCTTCTGTCTGTGGGGTCTCTCCACCAGAGGCGCTGTCCTCCAGGCCCCCTGCCTCACGGGCGGTTTCACAGACGGTGTCTTCTCGGCACCCTCAGCCCCTGAGGGACACAGTGAAGGTGCTTCTGTATCTTCAGCTCCGGCACGTTACAATGATGGACGCCTACTGTCCAGCTCTGCACAGGGGGGCAGAGAGTGGGTGGGCCAGAAAGTTTATTTTGTTTTTCCATAAGGTGGCTCTAGTAGTGCCTTGTTGCCTTTAACATCATTCAAAACAATTTCGTTAGACTGTATTGTGACAGCTGTCCTGTCGGCGTGTGTTTAAAAAAAACTTATCAAAATCGGTGAATTTTTGTGGAGCCATTTTAATACTGAAGATGGAAGAAAATAAGCAACTTTTCCGGCATACTAGCTCTATTACTTCAAAAAAGGTAAAAACGCAAATGAAACATGAAAAAAGATGTGTGCCGTGCCTGGGGGAGGTGCTGCAACCAGCTGAACGGTCAGAAGTTTCGTGCTGTGGATTTCGCCGGGCGATGCTCCGCGGGCGTCCCTGTTGGGCTGTGCGGTGGGTGGGGGTCGGCTGGCCTGGCCGCTCCCACTGAGGCACCCCCGTCATCATGCCAAGACTTCTCTGCTCTTGCCTGGGGGGGGTCACCCCACTTTTTGTGGGCATGAAGCACCCCTGGGGCTGCACCCACCTTCTGGAACAGGATCTTCAGCCGCATTTCCTGGGCTGGGGGCTCCATCCAGTGTCTTCTGCGTTCGCTCCTTCAGGCACATCTCTGGCCGGCTGAGTTCTCGTTTCCCAGCATGGCCGCACACCGGGACACATACACGGGAATGTGCGCACACGTGGGCGTTTATTTCTCATGTTCTCGCTTCCGTCTCTGGGGGGGTCTGCAGTATACGCTCATCCCCCCGGGCCACCTCCTTCTTTGCAGCACTCAGCCGACAAGCCACGGGCGGAAGTGGTGTTTACCTAGGGCTTCGGAGCTGAGGGAGGAATCAGCAAGTTTTCGTGGGTGGCTGACCAGCGAGGATTTCTTCAGACCCTTTAAAAAGTGCGGCTCTGCTTTTCCAAATGGAATGTTGCATGGAACTCTGGTATTTAAGCCTGAAAAGAGGAGCTACTCTGGCTGAAGGAGGCTCAGTAGCCTAGCTGGGAGGGATCTTCTAGAACTTCTGGGGCTAAGAAAGTCTAGGGACTTTCTGGGCAGAAACTGGAGGGCTGGGACCCACTGAACCCACGGACTGTGAGCTGGCACCGCCCTCTGCTGGCCTGGACCTGGTACTGCTCCTCCATGTTCAGAGACACACTGAGCAGCAATGAGGCTGACCCTGACCTTGTGAGGGAGGAAGGTGGTGCTGCCTTTGGGGGAACATGTCCCAAGCCCATGCATGTTGCTGTTAAATCTGACATACTCAGTCTCACAGAACCCCAGCTGCAGCCCTGGCTGGCGTAGCTCAGCGGATTGAGCACGGGCTGCGAACCAAAGCGTCGCAGGTTCGATTCCCAGTCAGGGCACATGCCTGGGTTGCAGGCCATGACCCCCAGCAACTGCACATTGCACATTGATGTTTCTCTCTTTCTCTTTCTCCATTCCCTCTCTAAAGATAAATAAATAAAATCTTAAAAAAAAAAGAAGGCCCTGACCTTTAAAAAAAAGAACAAAAAAAACCCCAGCTGCCTACATACTGGATTCCTACAAGCGGCCATCACTATATTAACGAGAGGAAGAGGGACAATAAAACACTCCAGAAAGCCACCTAATATGGGAAGGGGAATAACAAAACCTGATTTCAATGACAAACATGTGCTGCCCAGAAAAGCTTCCTTGCTGGAGACATCTGGGACGAGGTACGAAGTACGGATTCCACCACATCCAAGGCAAGTGAGCGGAAGGAGAGCCGGGAAGTCGACGCGATGCATTCCTGCCAGCCCCCCCTCCCGCCCCCTCGCTGCGGCCCTCTGAGGAGCGCCGAGTCACAGGCAGACGGAGGCAGTCTGTCAGTGGGGGGCGGGGGGGCAGTCTCGGTGGGGAAGTGGGCCACCAGCTTCAGAGCTTCTGCCTGGGCTTGGCTGCGTCTCAGAGACCCGAGTTTCCCCAAAGGGGGACGCCCGGCTCTTAACCGGCCCGGGAGAGAGCTGAAGAGGGACTTGTGGGGAGCTGGACGATCAGTGCTGGGCCTGAAGTTCACGGGCCACCTGGCAGCCGGATCGCTCCAAGTGACCCGGGATGGAGGCGTCTGCCCCACTTGGGAGCTTGCTAGTGACACAGACTCCCTCCTATCATACCCAGGGGCAGGCATTCATACTATAACCTTTCCCATCTTACAGGTCAAAAACAAAATCTCAAGGTTCAATGCTCAGGGCCCAAGGACTAGGAAGGGGCCAGGAAGCGACCCTCGCCCAGCAGCTCTGACCCCAGCCCCCTTCAGCTCTGTCAGACTCAGGCTCTGTCTCCAACGTTTCTTTTCTCCTGGGGGGAGGGGAGGTGGAGGTAGGAGGGGAACGAGGAACAATGACATTAGAACGCCACATATCCCGGGTCGGTTTTGCCAATATCATCAGACAGAGGAGGAAATCACTCTTGAGAGTAAAACCAGACAGTCTTCAGCAGAGACGCCGGGGCAATTGCCAACGTGGCAGCAAGTGCAAAGCCGAAAGCTCTGGCACAAATAGCCGCGAGGAGCGAGGGAGGAGATTCAGCAGTCCAAGGCCAAACAGCCTGTAAGGTCTTCCCAGCCACTCCGCGACAGGCCACCCTTTGCGGGTGGGGGGATAATGCCCAAGAGGGAAATGGGGGGGGGCTGTCGTACCTATGGCGGGCCATCCAGGTGTGGGTGTCTGGTCCTTACTTTGGGCAAGTGCTCCCTAGAGGGCTACGGCTAAGGGGCCTGTTAGCAGAAAGTATGATAAAGATGTGTTAGGGCCATCGGGACAGCGGGTGACTGGAGATGAAGGTCGCCGAGGACGAATCCGCAGCATGGGCGCGGCTGCGAGCGGACCACGTCGGCAAGCCGCTGGCATCGACCCGGCGGCCTGGACCCGAGGCGTCTTCCCTGCAGTGCTTTTCATCGGCAGTGTCCTCTGCGAGCTGGTCCTCTCGGACCCAGATTCTGGCTATTTCGTGAGGGATCGGTGTGGGGGGGGGGAGTTGCTTCCCGGAGAGGGGTGCGCTTTGCCATTTGGTGCGGGCCATTTTCAGGCTGTGTGTTAACACACGTTGTCCAAAGCCAGCCGCCCCCCCCGCGCCCTGCCGCCCCACCTTTCCAAGGCTTTGCACGGCTGGGGGGGGAGACGCCTTGGAATGCAGGCTCCCGGGTGGGGAGCATGGGTAACTCTCCCGGAGGGGCCAGCACTCGGCCCTGGCAGACCCCTGGCTTGGGTTCGGGCAGGCAGCAAGGAGGACAGACACCACCACCACCGAACCAGCCCAGTCCAGTCTCAACTGCAGCAGAGGCCGCCCCGTCTGTTCAACGAGCACGAGCGGAAAAGCACCGGGACTGCCCTCGGCCACTGCCAGTTCCACCTAACCTCCGCCTGGTCTATGCGGTTCCCCTTATAGATTAAAAGGCGATTTCTCACTCATCTCAGGCCTCGGCTCCCTTGCCTGGACAGATGGGCTTGTGAAGACACCCGTGGGCTGGTCATTTCCCCGGTATTTGCTTGCAAGGCTGAGTTAAGATAAGTCGCGATGAGAACTTGGTGTTTGGCCCGTTTTCTTCAAGCTTACACTTGAGTGAAGACATAGGAAGAATCCCTTTATTTATGATTTTTTTTTTTTTTTTAGAGAAACATCGATTTTGTTGTTCCACTTACTGGCGCATCCCTTGGTTGCTTCTTGTATGTGCCCTGACGGGGATCGAACCTGCAACCTGGGTGTATTGAGACGGTGCTCTGATCAGCTGAGCTGCCTGGCCGGGGCCGAGCGTCCTTTCAGATGGAGAAGCCCCCCTATACAGAAAACACACAGCCGTGCCACGTTTTTAGTCTTTAATTTTTTTAAGTAAAGAAATCCCATCGAATCAAAGATAACAAAATTACAGTTTTTGCTTGTAATGATCTTTGTTTACCACCACACAGAATCAAAATAGGACCAAACTAATACAAGAACATAAAGTGACCAAGGACATCATTGTTTAGTATAATTCCTTAATAAAGGTAAATATCCTCATATTTAGAAAAAGTTGCATTGCTAGTTGCAAATCTTAAACACCTCGATGCTGGAGGATCCCGCGTTTCTCCCCATAATCCGGCAGCACGGAGGCTTTCAGAACACAAACTCAGAAACACATTACTTTCAGGGCAGCATTTTAAGTTTCAGAAAATGCAAACAAAACCAAAATTAGGAATGTGAAAGTGACGGTTCTTGGAAATCAGTCTGGAAGCAGATCTGCCAACAGAAGAACGTGGTTGAGGGGAGTCCAGCCAGGAAGGGGGAGACGCACGCCGGGTCCCTGCCCCCCTCGCCTCCCCCGGGTGTTGCTAAGGCAGCTGCAGCGGCAGGAGTCAGAAGCTCAGGTACAGTGACGGTCTTCCTGAGGCAGCGGGAGAGGCCCGGGTCACCTGCACTGCTGGGAGAGGTGACAGGGTTCTACATGGACTTGTGCTTTGGGGAAACCGAAGAGGCCAAATCAAACGCCAAAGGACACCTAACTCTACACCCACACGAACAGCCTGGGGCCCGAGGGCGTTGGCGACGATTCTAGGGGATGGTGGGCTGCTCAGCATGGGTGGGCTGGGAAGAGAACGCCCACTGAGATGAAGGGTGTGTCTGCAGGTGTGATACGTGGACGGTCCCCAACTTATGGCAATAGGAGATTTCTTGGCTTGTGGGGACTGGGAGGGGGAAAAGGTAGGTTATAGATCTTGTTACTAATTGACAGAAGAAGAAGGCTTAACCGACCAGTATTAATAGAAAGTAATGTCTTCTCACTCATTAGAGACACCCACATACCTGCCAGGAAAAACAAACAGCTCAGAAAACATGGGGAGCGGGGTGCTAACTCTGCCAAAGGGCAGCTGTGCACTGTCTGGGGGTCCACAATGGCTGGTGAGCTGGACTCCGCGGCCTGCTCCCAAGGATGCCGGCTGCAGCATCCGGGGGCAGCGGCAGCAGCAGCACAGGCAGGAGGAGCAGCTTTTGTTGGGGGAGCAGTCCGGTCTCGCCGCCAGCAGGGGCCGCTCCCCCTGCCCTCAGCCTCAGATAGTTTGGCAGAAGCAATCCGTCCCCCCGAAGAGGGGTCACTCCCCTCTGCTAAGAGAATGGAGGTGGGAGCTGACTCCCCTCCATTGCTGGGCCTCTGCGGGCCCCAGACAGGCCGTTTCTCATGGTTTCGGAAGCATCCGAGCCGCCTAGAGCGGCTCTGAGCAACAGAGTGAGGCCAAGAAGGAAGAAAGGCGTCAGGGACGTGGTGGTCGGTGGGTTCTGGGCCCCTCGGGTCACCGAGGGTGGGGGTTCCTGGCACAACAAGGAACAAACGGGCCACAGAGAAGGGAGAAATCCCCCGGCTTTGCGCGTGGCTTCCCCGCAGACGTCCTCGGCAGAAGAACGGGAATCCCAGCACCACGACACCGTGGCACCAGGGGATGTTCGAGTTAAGGCTTTCGGGACAGAGGAAGTGAGTCCAGATGTGCTGTGAGCAGACGCTGCAGGGGAGGGCTTCTCGGTAACTCTCCTGTCCTGCCTCGAAGATGAACACCCGAGAGCTCCCTCAACTCAGCGTGATGTTTCTGGCCTTCAGCTGAGCTCCGAGCCGGAATCGACGCCACAGCAAAGGGAGCCTCTCGCATCTCGGACGTCTGCTGGCCTGGCCGGCACAAACGAGAACACGCACACGGTCTCCCTGGAGCTGGCAAAATGATCTCCGGTCACACGGCGGCGACAAACAGCGCTCTCACTCGGATGCCAGGCGCACACGCTCGGCCGCCCAGAGGGCCGGCGTCAGTGAAGGCGGCGGCTGGGGGGGTTTCTGCTGCGGCAACTCTCGGGGCTCCGCCTGAGTCACACGAAAGGACGGGGTATCTGCCTGGTTGCAGTGGTGCCCCCAAGCTGAAGACAGGGCAAGGGCAAGGTGGAGGGTCTTCACCAGCAAGGCCTAACGCAGTAGCTCCCTCTCCAAGTCCCCTGGAGGTGGGCCGGGGGCCTGCACCCACCCGTTTCCACGAGCTGTGGAGGGCGAGTGGGAATGTCCAGGGACGTGATGTGCGAGCAGAGGGGGTGGTCTCAGACGGTCTAAGGTGACGGGGGCTCAGCGGGGAGGCGATCGCTCCCCCATCCAGTGTGAGTGAGGGACAGTCTCCTGGACCCTGCTTCCGTAACGCCAAGCCGAGAAAGGTGCATTGCCACCAGACAGTCTGTCCCGGGGACCCCTGTCAGCGTGAAATGCCACCGAGAGCTGGCGAGATTATCGGGACTGCAAACAGCCGCCTTCTCTGTTCTGCTCTGGAATCACTGGCGCAAACTCACAGCGGGAAGTTAAGAGGTTTTCTTCAAGGCTGTTAAACTCTCTTCTGCCATAAACGCATCAAGGAGACCCAACACCATTTTCCAGAAAATCCGCATTTGACTCGGACCAGCTGCTTGTCGCCAGTGGCCTCAAAATTGTCTAGGAGGCAGGGAGGCCGACCGGGGCGGGCGTGGGTGCCTCCCTCCCTCCTGGATTTCACTGTGTCGCTCCTGCGGCAGAGTGGTCTGTGCAACCTACAGCCTTAACCGGATGCTCAAAGGCAGCGCTCCAGCGCCCTCTGAAAATTCAGCCTAGTTTCAGCCCGAGCAGGACCTTACTAACAGGAACGGCACTCACGCTACCACTGGGAACGAACGACTTCAGGGGGAAAAGCAAAGGCAGGCTGGGGGCAGGCCAAGCGGGCCCGGTGTAAACGCCCCTCCCCCGTTTACTCGGCAAGCGCGCCTCCCTGCTGGTGCCCTGCCCCTGTGCTCTCCCGCAGGGGCCCACGAGCGCTCTCCCGTGCGACAGCAGCCGCGGTCCCATCCTCCTCTCCCTGCCCGAGGGCCTGGGGCCCGAGCAGGGGGCTCCAGTGGCCTCCGGGTGAGCCAGACCGAAGAACTGAGCGCCATTCCGGGGCGCACACGGAAGGGGGTGCAGCTGGGACACGGCCCCCGCAGTGCCGCGGGGCGCACGCCGGGTGTGTGGCGACGCAGGAGACGCCCCCAGCCCCTCCTCTCCTCCACGGGGCCACCCAGCCTGCTGTGCAGGGCAGGCCCCCAGGACTCCTGTTGTCCCGAAAGTGACAACAGGACTGTCCTCTCTCCTCCTGAACGGAGCTGGGACCTGGCCACTCCTTTCTCAGCGCGAGTCCAGAGGTGCAACCTGGGGCAAATGGAGAGGAGCCACCCGCTTCCCGGGACGGTCACGCAAACCCGTCAGTCACGGCTGCGTGCACCTAATTTCAGGGGAAGTCATAAGAGGCGGAGGGGTTGTGGGGAATAGGACTGCAAACCTTCCAGATTACTGCTGTGATTGTCAGGCGGAGGGAAAAGTGACAAGGGGCAAGGACTAGCGCCCACACCGAGGGTTAGATGGTAAAGTGCCACTGTGTGCTGGACAACACGGAAAGGAAAAAGCACTAAAAAGTAACTACTTGGCGGAGAGTCACCAGGATGAGTCTGATGTGCGTGCTCGGGTAAGCCAACGCAAAGCCGAGGCCACAGCAGTCTCCGTCTCCGGAGAGAATGGCTGTTTTTCATGTGACCTGTTAAGATGACCTGGTGATGGTCAGCAAATGGTCTCTTCAGGCTACAGACGTAACTGTCCTAGTCGCTTGGACCAACGCCCACGCTGTACCCACCTGTGGCCACCAGGGGCAGCACCCAAGCCCCCAGGTGGCCCCCCTGCACCCTTTAGGCATCCACCCAGACCCACTTTTTCTATTCTTGCCTGTCCTGGAGCAAAGGAGATGAAGCTGGGAGAAATCTTAAAGTATGCAGGCAATTTTGCTCATAGTTCCAGACAGACGCTGCTGATTTCTCAAAGTGCAGGGTTTTAACACCCAAGTACCCCAGGACTGGAGAAGGAAGCGCTCGAAAGACTGTCACTTGAGCAGACACCCTCTGGAAAGACCCCCCCCAACAGGTCACACTAGGCTATCAAGATAAAGATCTGCTTTCAGAACCCCACCTCCTTCAGCTGGAAAGACCTTTCCCCAAACACAGGTCCAACTTTTGAACTGCTTGGTATCAAAAGCCAGAATTACAGAGACCTGGGTTAAGAAAATGAAAACACAAATGAGGGCGTGGTAAAACAAAAAACCAAAATCTTCGATGGCCCGAGGACAAAGACGGGGAAAGGCAGCGAGGACTCTGCAAGTTCGGACGGAGGGGAGCGCCCAGGCTCCCCGGAGGGATGTTCTCTCAAACCCCGGGAAAGTGCGTTTGTCATTGAACTTCAGGACCGGCAGCGATCTTGGCATGTTACCTGGTCCGGGTCCCCCCCTTTCCAGGGGAAGAAACTCGAGTCCAGAGGGACTGTCCCAGGGTCGTGCCGCCAGGGAGAAGCAGGGTCGGGGGCAGCCCACGAGCCTCACCCCCAGCCGGGCCCCCACGCTGGCACCCACAGGGGCCGCCGTGCAGGGCAGACCTCGCTCTCCCGGGGACTCCTGGGAGCTGGGTGACATCTGGGACTGTGAATTTTAACACAGTTTCAAATCTGAAATGTTCCCAATTTAAAGGCCTTGCGGAGAACTGTTGCCCAAATTTGCCTGGTGATGAGAACCACCGGGGGCACTTGTCAAAAACTAAAATCCCCAGGCCCCTTCCCAGACCCACTGAATCAGCTTCTCCAGGGGGAGGGGGCTGGGAGGCTGAATTTTTAATAAGTGTCCCAGGTCACCCTCGTCACCAGCAAAGTGCAGGGAAACCATCTCGGGAGATAGTGAGGGACGAGTGTGGCTTGTGACTCGGGGAGTTTGCTCTGCCATGTGAGGGGCCACAGTGTGGCCTTGGGGGCCCGGGGCCCCCCAAGGTGCCCGGGCCGACCTGCATCTGCAGCGCGGGCTGAGGTTGGTGAGCTCTTTTCCAGAGCTGCATAAGGGCACGTCCGACCACCACGAAATAACAGACATCCTTCACCGTTCTTGGGGACAAGCCGTTTGGCTGGCAAAGCACAACGGCTGTTCCGACACACGTTTCGTAGGGAAACCAGAAGCAATTGGCTTGAAAGCAATCGTGATATGCCGAAACAGGACAGACGGGGAGAGGCCTGTCGCTCGTCGCCACGGCTGACAATGCAATGGAGAAAACCAGTAACTAAGCACAAAAATAGCCTGGGCGCCCAGGGAGGGCCGCCCACCCCACGACAGGTGTGCCCGGTGGTGCCCGCTGACGGTGCGAGGTCAGGTCCGGGTCACTGGGGGAGCGGGGCACCTGGAGCAGCCGGTGAGGGACGCGGGCTCCGGAGGAGGGCGGCTGGAGCGCGCCGGAGTCCGGGGGGCCTCACTCCGGGTCGGCCTCCACCTGCTCCGCGTCGGAGCACTGCAGCTTGCTCCGCTCCCACTGGCAGATGGCGTTGGCGTACTCCACCACCAGCTTATCCATCCACGTCAGGGGCTCGGGGAACAGCACGGAGCCCTCGAAGAAGCCCAGGTGGCCCCCGTGCAGAGGCAGCACAAACATGACGTTCTCCCGTTTCTCTGCAGGGGCAAGGCAGCCAGGTGAGTCACTGCGCTCCGCGGGGCTCCGGGGCAGCATGCCAGCACTGGCTGGTCGGGGTGGCTCGGCCTTCCCCACCGGTGAGGGCCCCCTGCAAGGGCGTGCGACCTCCCCTCTGCCCCGTTCATCAGCGTGGGAGGGAGGAGCGTGGGGCAGACACGACACTGGGACCTGGCAGGTGTGGGAATAGCAGCTGGGCTTTGGGGCAGCACGGGCACCAGCTTGAGAGACCCTCAGATGTCTAAGTGTTTCTCCCACATGGCTGCACAGTCCAACTTGCGGGGTTTGTAAGGACCCCCACGCAGCACCCAGACCAGTTACAGCAGGGCCTCTGCGGGGGTGGGGTGAGAGGGGGCCCAGGCACTGATGCTGCTCAAGCTCCCCAAGGGACTCGATTTACAGCCAAGAGCTCTCCAGCTTTGTGCATCCACACCCCTGGGATAGCACCTTGAAATGCAGGTTCTGCTCTTGCAGGCAGAGCCTGGGGTGTGCTGAGGGGGTGCTGAGGGAGGGCGCACTGCCCAGCGTTTATACTGTTATTCACGGGAGAACCAGGGGACCTCAATGGAGTCCGTGGCTTTGCACGACAGACATTTATCTTTTAAGGCTGAGACATAAAGCTGCCGGTGGTACTAAAAGGAGCCCACACTCCCGTGGCCACCCTGAGAGTGACTCCCTGCAGGTGACTGACGGGGTGCCAGACTGCACGGGTGAGGCTGGCTGTGCGGGTGGCGAAGGCCACCCCTCAAGTGGGCAGCCGGCAGGGAACGGGAGCAGCTGCGGTCCCGGGGGAAGGGCCGACGGGGCCCTTGCTGGCTGCTCCGGGCCCACGCCGTGGTGCTTCCTGGCTCACCCGTGGGCCCAGGGCTCTCTTCTCGCCCGACCCCCTTCCCTCTTCTCCTCCCAGCCACCACCGCACACGTTTCTGTGTGACAGAGGGGGCTACGGCTGGAGGCGGGGGAAAGCCCACGCTTCGCCTGCTCTGTCGGCCGCCCGCGCGCAGCTGCATGGGTGGCGTCTGTGCGGGGAGCCCACGGCGTGGCTGGTGGGGGTGACAGGAGGGCGCCCCGCTCCCACCCCACGCGCAGCGTGTGCTGAGTGGTGCGCGCCAGAGCTCTCTGGCAGCCGTTCAGGCGGGCCGGGTCCTCCGTCTCCTGCATCGTCTACCCCTCCGGCTCGGGGCTGCGAGAGGACCACGAGCATCCCTCTGCCGCCCGGGGAGCGCGGGGTATGCGGAGGAAACGTCGTCACAGAGGACGGGGAGGGAGGGGGGAAGTACCGGGACCCCCCCCAAGGTTTCCTGCTGCCACCCTCTGTCTAGTCTCCCCTTCGGCTCCTGTCCGGTGCGGGCGAGGCTGGGTGAGGCTGCGCCGGCCGGACGCGCAGTGCCGCTCCCGTGAGCCACGGGCGGCCTGCTCCGTTGCTTATATTTTTACCCTCAAAGCAGATGGGGAGGCTGTCACGGGGCAGCACAACTGGCTTCTTTCCTGTTTTTTTTTTTGCTCTTCAGGTCAAGTCTTCAGTGTAACTATCTCTCTAAGTCAAACTCTCCGACTTAAGGGAACTAGAACCCCGAGACAAGAATTTCACGAGCACCAGGGGACTGGCTGTGCCCCTGTCTAGGGCTACAGATGATGGGCCTGCCCCCTGCACCAGGACGGAGCGTGAGAAGGTCCTGCCCAGGCCCCACCGCAGCCCCGGGGCTCCCAGGCCAGGCTGAGTGGAAGCACAGCGGGGAGGGGACAGCTCGGGACGGTGACAGAGTAACTGCGGCCGTCTGCTGAGTGGCTGAGGGGGCGGCGGGGGCAGACACTCACCGGAGAGAGACTTTGGAATGGTCAGCAGACTCTCGTGCACCAGCGGGTCGTCGGCTGCGTTCACCAGCATGAGAGGCACGTAAATCTGGGCCAAGAACACACAGAGAATTAAGTGACTGCTTCTGTTTTGCAGACCCCGCGGAGTCAAGGCTGGAGGGCACGACCAGACGTGCGTCTGCGGCAGGGGGAAGGGGGCCACCGTGCGGCGCACTGACCGACCGGGGGGACTGAGGACAGCCTGGGTCCCCAGCAGCGACAGCCCCACTGGCGGCTGCTGCGGCCCCAGCCCTGGCGGGCGTGTGCCGGCGGGGGCACGCCGACACTCCCGGACAGCCCGGCCAGGGAGGGTCAGACCGCCCCGTGCTCCACTGGGGTCTCTGGCCTTGGCTCTGGACAGCTCCACGGTGCTGGGATGGTGTCAGCAAGGGCCCCAGAGCCTGGGTGCGGATGCTGAACGGGGACGGGTGGCTGACATGGCCAGCGGCGAGCTGCAGCCCTCGAGCGCCTGCGTCAGCTGGGCACGTGGGCCAGGCCAGCAGGCGGGCACGGGCAGGGGGTAAGGGGAAGCCCCGTGTTTGAGTAAAACGAGCGACCGTACAGAGAGAACGAGACAGACCGGCCGGTGGGGGCTCAGGCAAAGAATACACGGAGGTTATGCTGGCCACAAACGGACGTTGGTGTCCATGAAGCTCATCACAGCTGCCAGACACCGCACTAGTGTCACCAGTCCCCTCGCCAACACACATGCCCCTCCTCACTGGGGACACGAATGTGCCTATTCTACTGCGATCGCCAGATCACGGCTGGACTCTTGAATTTGGTCTGATTTAGTAAATAGGACCTAGTTAGTAAAAAAAAAAAAAAAGCATTTACTAGCACTAATGAACTACATACACCATGGCCAAAAAAAGGGTCCAGGACTGGGAGGAGTCTACGGACTGCCTGCGAGGAACCAGGGCAGGGTCAGGCAGGGGCCCACGGCCACGGGGCGACTCGGGGACAACGGGTGCTGGAAGGGCTGCTGCGCAGACGCAGGAGCAGCCCGGTCCTGCACCGTGCTAAGGGGCGGGCAGCTCTGGGATCCGCACATGGAGGCCCGGAGGGCCAGGGCTGGGTTCCGTGATAAACCCAGGGGAACGGCCGGAGCACTGTGGGCCAGGCCCCAGCTGAGCCCCTGACAGGGAGGCCCGGGAGGGGTGCTCGGGACCAGGGTGTGAGGCCGAGGCCCTGCCGGCAGGGCTGCCACTCACCCTGTGCAGGTACCGCATGCAGCTCTCCTCTTCGTAGTACTCCTTCAGGGACCGGTAGCCGTGGAACTTCCTGGGCGCCCGAAAAGGAGAGGGACAAAGCAATACCGGTCACGAGACGGGAGCACTGCATGCGTCTGGTTCCCGCTCCGGCCCCTGTACTGACTGGTTGCGTCGGCGGGCTGCTCGCAGGCACCAGAGTTAGGGTTAAGAGCACCGGCCTCGGCATGGGGTTCGAATCCTGACCCTGCCACTTACTGGCTTGTGTGGCCTTAGGCAAGGGGTTTCCAGAGCTTCTCATCCATAAAACGGAGCTAAGGACAGGACTTTCCTTAAGGCGCTATGAGATTTACGACGTCGAAGTGTGTCCCAGTGTGGCCACCCCCCCAGCGCAATCACTCACTAAGTGTTACCTGTAGTAACTATTGGCAGATGTGACGTCTTTCAAGACAGTATAAAGTCAGACGTCTCTACGCACACTCAGAAATCAAAGTCCCAAGGCATTTACTAGAACTTTCTTTACAAAAGACTGTCCTGGCAGAGTGATCCCGACCACTGTGACTGAAGCGAGGGGCTCAGGTCAGTCACTCTGTCCAGCCGAGGGGCAGTGGTCAGGGAGAAATGACAGTGGACGGAACCTTCACTGCAGCGTGCCCCCCCCAAGCTCCGAGCGGCCCGGAGCTCCAACACCAGCAGGCCGAGTCCACCCCTGGCCAGAAGCTCTCTGAAAACCTCTTTTCTTTCTGATGCAGGTTAGGGCCTCTGGCCTTTCTATTCTGACTGGGGTCTTCAACAAGAGAACCCCCGCCCGCCCCTGAAGCTGTGGGTCTCTTCCAGCACCAGGATGCGGACGCCTCTCCGCCTGGGAGGGGCCCAGAAAGCTGGAGCGAGACAGACTATCGGCTCCCCTCCGTCGGGGGTGGGGTGTACCACGTGCCAAGATCCCCTCCGCACACAGTGGGGAGGGGGCTGTGGACCGCCAGCCCCAGCTCAGGCTCGGTCCTGCCACGCAGGGACGCAGAACCAGGGGGCAGACCCGCTTCCCATTTCCCAACAGACACTGGGAGTCCCACTGTCCGTGGAACCGTCTGTGGTTTTTGAACACTGGACACGTGTCCAGAGGGGAGAGCCAGGGACACGGAAGGGGGCAGAGGGAACCCCGTGCCGGGTGGCCCCCCGCGTGGGCTCGCACCTCATCACGTTGTCGTCGATCTGCATCAGGGACGTGGCCGTGTACAGGCGGCTCAGGTCCGAGTCCTCCAGGCTCCGGGGCTTCTTCACATGGTCTCCGAAGAGGGCTTGCCTGGACCGAGACACAGACGCAAACGGAGAACAAATGCGGGTGAGGACCCAAACAAATCATCACACGGCACACCCGGAACACCTTTCCGTTTTGTGTGTCAGTGATGCCTCGGCACAGCTGGAAAACAAATTTTCGTTAAAGAAATTCTAACGCAGACAATAAGCGCAGCCGAGCCTGCTACCGGCCCAGAGGCCAGCCGGGGGCGGTCTGACCGGGGGTGCGAGGAACGGATGCCCTCGGACCTCAGAGCGTCTCCGAGGGAGAGCTGGCACTGCTGACTTGTAAGTGGCTGCGGAAGGAGGAGGTCAAGGCCCAGTTTTCCTTCTCAGGGGTGGCTGCACAAACTGGACAAGCAGAGATGACGGGGAGGGCTCTCTCCCCAGAGCCCAGTGGTGTGGCAGAGGCCAGAGGGTGCGGGGGCTGGACGGTTAGGAGGATGGGCAGACGGTACTGATGATAATCGTGATGGGTCACCGATAAGATCTGCTGAGAGCCACTGCACGCCAGGCCCGCTCTGAGCGCTGGTCGGGGGCCGGCCCAGCGAGGATTCTGAGCAGGGGAGGGGCAGGGGGCGCAGGGAGGTCCGAGGACACCACGCTCTGCACCAGGAGCTGGACTCCGGTCACACCGCTGCCCAGGCAGAGCCCCAGGACCCCCAGACAGCACAGCACGGTGAGGAGAAGGCCCCCAAACAATCACCAGCCACCTCAGGATGCTGAGTTTGGGGAAGGATGGTGTCGAAGTGTTTCCACCTCTTGGGTTTGACCGGGACCAACGAAAGGCAAAAGCAATCTGGTGAATTTGGGGGCTTGCTTCTTTTTAAAAAAAAAAAAGAATTGTATATGTTGATTTTCAGAGAAAGAGAGAGAGGGAAATTGATTTGTTGTCCACTTCTTGAAGCATTCGTTGGTGGAGTCTTGTATGTGCCCTGACCGGGGATTGACCCCACAACCTTGGCCTATGGGGAGGACGCTCTCACCAACGGAGTGACCCAGCCAGGGCCGGGGACAGACTTGCTTCTAAGTCACAAAGCAGTCAGCAGAGCACCTGCACCACCCCTGCCCCTTCATTTCCCCTGGGAAACAAGCGTCCTGGCTTCCAGTGACTCCAGACTCAGCCACGAAGGGACAGCCCGTCTCCCGAGAGAGAGTGGAAGGCGACGCACCTGTGGGAGAGGATGATCTTCTTCATGTTGTCGGCCATGAGGAAGTTGTAGAAGCGCCGGCAGTGGTCCCACTGCATGAAGGTCTCCTGGGCCCTGGAAGGAGCACAGGAGAGTGACAGGGCCGCCTCCTGCGGAGGGCACCGTGGGGCAGTGGGCGGCGGCAGCGGTGGCGTCTGTGACAGGAGTGCTTGCGGGGAGAGCGCTGGCGCCCTCCGGGGGGACGGGGCCCCAGGGCACTCACGCTATCTGCGCAGAAACCTTTGGAGACGCCAAAACAGTGCAGAAACCCGAGACCCCAGGGAGACCCCTCTGCAGGGACACAGGCGCTGTCAGGGACCCTCCCAACACCCGCCCCCAGCACCTTGGCCTCCTCGCAGTCACGGAACCTGCCGGTTCCAAAGTCCGCTCCGACCGAACCCTTTGTTTGGCTTCCTACCATGCAAACACGATTTTCTGGCTGAATACCCTGAGTGCGTAAGGTGTGGGTGGGTGTGGAGAGGTTCAGTGCGGGGAGAGACCTAAAGAAACTTTATTTGCTGTTTGGTGTAAGCCCCGGCGCAGCAGCCGCGGTGGGACTGAATTAGAGCGGGAACCTGAACTGTAGCCCATCTGACGTGACCAGACACTTCTGCTCTCCAAGACTCAGTTTCCGCATCTGTCATGTCTGAGGGTTGATCCAGAGAATCTGTTTCCACGCCCCGACTGCTCCAGGGCTGAGGTACCCAGACAGTTCCCTGGCGGAGGCCCCCCCGGGGGCCTCGGCGGTGTCTTCGTTGCTCCTGCTGATGGTGGGTGGGATTCTGCAGGCAGGGAATTCTACAGGCCGGGGTGCCCGGCCAACTAGTGGGGTTAAGAGTGAGTCTGCTTTCTGGCCTCAGCATTTATAACAGTTGCAAATGGCCAATTAAACCGGAGAGCTGGCCTGAGTCTGACCACACACACGACCGGGGCCGGCAGGCAGCTGTCGGTGCTGAGGGAACGTGTCCCATCAGCGGTACCTCATGGCGCCAGGGCAGCGACGCCCCGCCTTCGCGGCTCAGCATGCCGCCAACATGAGCCTGTCTGGGGGTCTGGGGGCAGCAGCCAGCCCTTGCCGACAACGGCAAGCGAAGCAGTGCTGGTGTCTGGGCCGTGGACTGGCTCTGGCTCGGGGGGAGATGCTGCCGGGAGAAGCCAGAGGTGGGGGAGGGAGGACGGGTGGGCAGCGCTGTGGACTCTACCGGGAGAGATTCGCCGGAAGCCAGACCCCCGCGCCTGGCCCCGGCAGGAGCAGGCGAGTCCTCCCCGCCCCGCCTCGGCGTGCGGGAAGCAGGGCTGCCAGGAAGCCGCAGCGCCCTCTAGCCTCGGCGGGACAAAAGGGCTTCGCTGGTGTGAAGCAAGGCACTGCCCTCCGGCGAGCGGTCCTCGTGCAAGCGTTGGGGGGACTGGGGACCGGGCAGCCGCAGCACAGACAGGGCGGGGGCGGCTCCCTCACCTGCACAGGACCTTGGCACGGCTTTGGGGCCCTGTGCTCCGAGGACAAAGCTGCCTGCCTGCCTCCTCCTGGCAAAACACTCAGGTGACTCTTACGTGATCCTGAGCACGAAGATCTTTGCGGCCTCAAAGAGGGGTGGCGTGGACCACGCCTGCAGAATGCATGGTATCTCACAGGTGGTAGTTCCCTATCTCCTTTTTAAAACATCTGTTTAAAAACCTTCAAGTACAGGTGACATACAATATCACGCTAACTTCAGGTCTACAACAGTTGTTCAGCGTTTATATACCTGGCCGAGTGACTGCTGCCGTGCGTCTAGCCCAGCGAGCGTGACCCCTCTGCCGTACGGCACACCCTCGTGACTCCCGAGCCCTGTGCCTGCGAGGCCGGGCCTGTCAACTCCCCCCACCTCTCCTGCTCACTGCCCTCTGTCCTCCCCTCGGGCAGACGCCGGTTCAGTCCGTGTCCTCAGCCTCTCCAGCACCTCAGCCTGTCCAACGGGCGGACCGTGTGCTCTCGCCAACAGCAGATGGCGCTGCGGCAGCAGAAGGAAATGAGGCTGCTCCTTGTCGCTTAAGAGTCTGCTCAGTAAAAAAAAAACGCCCCACATCCTCCTGCTTATCAAACCCGGTGCTCTCTGCACACAAAGCCAACGTTCACAGTGATTTCACAGCACTGGGTCTGGGGAGCGACTCCAGAGGTTCCAACGTTACAGATGGCTCAAGGCTTGCGGAGGGCTGGCCTGCAAGTCGGGTGAGGGCGGGCCCAGTCTCCAGGCTGGGCCCTCCGCTCTCCTCTCCGTCACCCCAGGGGCCGGGCAGGAGGGGACTCTGGTTAACTCCGGGCACATGGTGACAGCGCACCGGCAGCTGCACAGGTCTGGTGGAGCCAGGACAAGGGGACACGCCCCTTCAGCGGGCCCTCTGGAGAGCCAAGGGGAGCGAGGGGAGGGTCACCAACAGGAGGGCGAGGGGCTAGCGCTGGGGAGACCGCGGAGAGACCGGTGACGGCTAACCACGACCAAATACCAGGACTCCCTGTGAAATGTGTCCAGCGCGGACTCCTGGCCACACAGCCCAGATTCCTGCACCAGAGTCTCCAGGGCTGGGGCCCACGGAGGTGAATTTACTTCTGACACGATCCCCCAGGTAAACCTTAATGAGGTGAGACGGTCAATCGCTAGTTCACCAGGCGGGTCTCTGGGATCCACGGATGGAACTGCTGCTTGTTTCTCAGTGAACAAGGACGACGACGACAGTAACAGTTACTGCCTCCCTTTCTCATCCGTCAGACCCATTAGCAACACCGAAGACATCACAGTGCAGGGCGAGCACGGGAAAAAACATGAATGCATGTGAAGGTGCGGGGAGATGCGTGTGTGGGGAGAGACCTCTGGGACAGCTCCGGTCTCACGGGCGACGCGGAGCAGGCTGCATCCTGTGACTCATCCTGGGGGGTTTGGTTGGCAGGAGACTAAGGAGCAAAATAAACCTTTACCCAGGAGGTCATCTCCCTGGTGGTGATGGCTGGGACGCCCAAGAGGGGCGGGTGCTTGAAAGTGAGGGCAGAGATTAAATGACTTCCACAGACCCCTTCCCACGCCCTCTGAGACTCAGCTCTTCCACAGGCAAGGGGGGTCTGGGGCATGAGGCCCCGCTGACAGACTCTGGTTTGCCCGAGGTCTCCTGTGTTCCTGCGTGGACCCACGGTTGGACAGAACTCCTGGACCACACGCAGATTAAGTCCTTCCACAAAGACTCCGCAGGGAAACGGCAGCTCTAAGGGAGCTCTGGTTTACCCAACTACAGACCTGATCCCAAAATACAGCTGCATGTCGCAGGCCTGGGGGTCGGACAGGACAACCCCACGTACGATGTGGAAGCAAACGACCCAGGAACTTCTGCGTGGTCTCTGCCACAGCATCCCCCGTGGTCTCACGGAGCAGCCCCTGGCTGGTCCACTGGGGCACCCCAACACATAGTGCGAACGGAAAGGCCCGCGGCAGAAGGAAGCGGGGGCGGGGGGTGGGGCTCGCTCACCGCAGTGCGCTGTACCCCTGGCACACGCTGACGCAGCACAGGACATTTTCTTGGTTCGCTTGAGTCTCCCCCAGGTATTTACACACGATGTTCCCGCCCAGGCTGAAGCCCACGACGACCAGCTGGGTCAGGGGGTATGTCTTCTTGATGTAGGTCACCATGGCTCCGAACTCCCAGGTGCAGCCTGCGGGTGGAAAGGGAAGGGCACGCAGTCATGTCAGGTGCGGCCAAGACAGGAGACAACGTGAGCTGGAAGGTCAGGGCACAGACGCCAAGATAGTGACAGAAATGTGTGTGCATGCCACCTGGAGAGAAGTTCCCAGGTGCCCCCACGAGAAGAGGGAGTATGGTGTCAGTAGTGCCTGGGAAGCAAGGCCCTGGGTAGCGAACACACGTGTAACATGTTCAAGGGGGGCGGTGAGAAATCTGGATGCTCAGCATGTGCACGGGCACATGTGTTCGCCTGCAGGCGCACACAACGGCAAGAGCAAAACCCTTTGGACCTACAGCTTCTTAGGCTGCACGAGAGGGCAGGATGCCGTGCCCGTGTGCGTCACAGTTCACGATGATAGGAAAGGTACCAGGTGCACGTCATGTGCAGGGTCTTCTCGTGGAGGAGGGAAGGGAGACTGGCTTCAGTCCAGAGGGACGGCTGGGGTGCCCTGCAGGACTGGGAGAGGTTCTCGGTGACGCAAGGACAGGGTGCCGAGGGAGGCAGGCCCATTCGCAAACGCACAGGGGAGACCTGTGGACAGAGAGGGCGTGTGGGCCTCGCTTGCCCTGGAGGGATGATCTTAACAGCAGCCCCCTGGGGAAGCTGGCGAAGTCAGGCTATGTTCTCAGCAGCTCTGTTAGGAGAAGCAGGCAGCGGCCATGCATGGAGAGAGGAATTCATCACGTCCTTCTGAGGCCCAGCCCCAGACTCAGCCTGAGATAAAACCCAACAGGGGAAGTTAGGGGCTGTGGCAAGAAACATGTATGAGTTAGACCAGCATAAAGAGAGTTTGGATGTTGTGCCTGTTCTTAAAAACACAGATCTCTGGTCCAGAAACGACACTTTCGGGGACTTTATACTGCAGATGTATGCAGAGATGTACACGCGTGTGCACACGTGTCCACTGCAGCCCTGCCTGGAGCAGCACGGGGCCGGCAAGGACCCAAGTTTCCCTCCGCGGAGGACTGGTTAAGTTGCCGTGAAAGAGAATGGCGTCGAGTCTGACGGCTGACGCGGAGCGAGGCCGAGCGTCTTGCTGAGGGACGAAAACACGGGGCGGGGGAGGGCCGGCGCCGTCCCAGGTGGGCACCGGGTTCAAGGGGATTCGAGGGGCACGCACATCCGACCGAGTCATCACTACCAACTGCAGCAGACGCTGACTTTCTGGGGAGGAGACCTGGGGGACCAGGGTGGGACGGGGACGCAGTTTTACTCCTTGTATTTGGGCGTCTGCACTGCTGGAGCGTTCTCACTGCGTGTGTACACTGCTTTATCAGTAAAGAATCCAGGCGGTTAAAACATCTAGCGAAAATAAAGAAAAAGGTTTTGAAAGGTGTGTAAGCCCCCCGGACCAGTCTCACCCGTGCTGAAGGCCCCCCCGCCTCCCTCGTGGACGGCAGGGTCTGTGCAGCTCGGGGTGGGCGTGCTGCTCGTCTGCTTCAGCAATGGCGCCAAGGGACTCGCTTCAAGGTCAGGTGCATTCTTTAACTGTTCACCACTCCCTTGGGGTGCCTCCTAATTTTGTTCCTCCTTGGATAGTTATTTGTTTCTTTCTGTTTTGTCCTAACATTGAACGAGCCTCTATTACATTTCCAGCTCCGTCCAGCGAGACGCTCTTGGCCCTGGTCAGCACCGTGCCCCAGGGGCCCGGCACTCAGTGGGCACTCGGCCGGCGGCACCCCGATGCGTGGCCGGAGATGCTGCCCAGGCCCCAGGCCCCGTTCTGGGGCCGGCACACGGGGGGGGGCCGACTGAACAGATAATGGACTCGCCGAACCCCACAAAGTGAGCGAGCGGGTGCACCACCGGCCTTCGGACCCGCGCCAGACCCCAGCGCCCAAGTCCTTCGCCTCGCTTCCCGAGTTTGTAAGTAAGCACTGTTACCGCGGGGGTTTGCATTTTAGTAAAAGTCTTATTTTCTCACCACCTGATTCCTTTTACACACACCTACTGTTCCTGAGCTGTGAGGCTAACTACTGGAGACCCAGGGCAGATGCCACGGCAGCAGGTACAAGCTCGGGTCGCTGAGTAGCAATCGTGGCTAGCTGTGCTGGCACTTCGGGGGCCTCGACCTTTAAACTCAGATGTGTCGGAGCGGGACAGAAGGCAGGCCCTGCCTGATCATGGACGAGCTGCTGGGTGTTGGTGAGGAGCAGCCGTCTCTCCCCAGCGAGGGACAGCCTTCTGGTAAGAGCGAGGTCCTCCCGGGATCCCCCCTGATGTGGGTCACCTGACGGCCACAGTGTGGGGGAGCCCCTCCCCGGGCTGTTTTACTAAGAGCTACAGCAACCTGTGTTTTAATGCTAGGAGGATTTTGATGAGGTGCTGTGTATTTAATCCTTGTGGGATTAGCACCAGTAACAAGATTTACGTTTCTAATCTTGCTGCAAGTTTTTAAAGCCGAGATGAAACATGAGACACCAGCCCGGCCTTGGAAAGGTGACGAGGGGCCCTCCTGGAAAGGCCGCCCACTGAGCACAGGAAGCCCGTTTCTCTCCAGCTCCCGCCCTCCGCGAGGGCAGAGCTAAACCTGCCTGAAGGCCACTGCTCCAAATGTCACCACCACGACTCAGTGGGTGCAGATGCAAAACCGGAGACTCGGTGTTCCGGGTGGCTGCAGACCCTGACTGAGTCATTGCTGCGCCCCCCACACCGGCCTGGGCGGGGCACGAGGCGGGTGTGTGCCCGAGGTCGGGGGCAGGAGGGCGGTCTGGGTCACGTGGAGTGAGAGCACATGCAGACTGTGGCTGCACGGGGAGGGAGGAGGGGCCTTCAAAGGGGGACTAAGGGAAAACGGGGTCGTCAGGGCGGGCCCAGTCCCATGTGACCGGTGGCTGTCTAAGGAGAGGCGATTGGGACACAGGCACAGAGAGGCCGACAGGGACGCGCAGCGGGACAACCGCCCGTGACAACACGGAGACGACAGCCGTCCACGAGCCCCAGAGAGAAGCCTCGGAAGAAACCAAACCTGCGACACCCCGAACGTGGGCGGCGGGGAGAAAATAAGCTGCTGCGTTCCTGGCCACCCAGACCCCGGCACTCGGCCGTGGTGGTCCCAGCCCACCGACCGTCTCCCGAGGGCCTGCGTGTCCTCACGTCCCTCGCTACAACAGCTGACACAGCTGCGGGTGAAACCATGGGCTGTCTGGGACCTGCTCCAACCGCCTTTGAAACGGGGGCGCAGGAAGGGGCTGGTGGGGAGCCGAGATGAGACTGGCATCAGCTGAGCAATTGTTGAGGTCGAACGGTGGGTCCATAGGGGTCTCCCTGGGTTCACTTTAGGATTCTCTCTCTTTTGTGTATTTTAAACACTTCTATAGCAAAAAGTTAAAAAAAAAACCCTGGAGAGGAAACAAGGGATGTGTAGACCTGTAAGCATCTATGGCCCTCAACCCGCGGGGTGCCCGAGGGCCCCGGGCACAGCCGCTGACCTGCACCGGGAGACCGGGAGTCCTTTACGGCGGAAGTGAAGGCAGACTTGAAGGAAAACACCATGTTACTGCACAAGAGATGTAAATACTATAAAACTGAACTTTTCCAAGTTAATGTAAACATTATAATTCCTAATACATATTGTGGTGTGCTGTGCTCGAGCTCACCAAAACTGACCTTTCCCCCCTGGGGAGACTGCCTCTCCCCACCCCGTGAAATCGGGCCTGGCTCATGGACGGTGAGCGGTGTGGCCCCTACCATTTCCAGGCTGAAGCTTAACGCTCCTTTCAGCTCTCTGGGAGGGGGCCGAGCTCCAACCGGCGGCTGTGCCATCAGCCCGGGTCCTTGTGTGAGGACAGTGATGACGGAGACACAGGAACCCCGAGCCAACATGGGATGGGTGTGTACTGTGAGGAGGAAATCAATCTTTGTTTCCAAAGCACTGAGAGTGGGCGCCGGGGGTGTCTACAGCATAATCCAGTCCATCTTGACTGATACAGAAACTCAACACAGAGTTTGAGAAACCCATTCTCAGGCTCAACCGGGAGAAAAAAAGGCAGGGAGACAAAAGCACGCTCTAAAGAAGCAATGGGTCAGGGTGATGCTGTCGGATATTAAGCCGCATCACAAAGCGACAATAACTGAAAGTTAATAATGGCATTCGGTGTAGAAACGGAAGTCCACCTCCCGCTGTGAGCTTCAGGCTCTGCCCCCGTGAGAGGGGCGGTCACAGGGCCCACCCATGTGCCCCACCAGCCCTCGCAGCTGGGCGCACGGCCGACACGGAGGAAAGGCAGGCAGAAGTCACAGGGCACGTGCGGTGGGCACAGAAGCAGGGGGACTCCCCCGGCCACGCCCCCTGCTTACCGTAGGTGAACATGCGTGGCGAGGTCAGCTCGATGTTGGGCAGGGCGCCCAGGTGGTTGAGCACGGCACACCGGTAGCCGTTTTTCTGGGCATAGTCGACAAAGGTTCGGATGTACTGCTTCTCGCTGTGGTTGGCGATGCCGGGGCAGATGACCATGGTGACGTCATCTGCAGGGCGGAGAAAGAGATCCGGGCTGGGTCCCGCGGGCAGCGACACTACGAGCGGGCACCTTACCCGGCCCCGGCTTAGGAAACAGGAGCGGGGAGCTTAACACACATCTCCCCCGCGGTTCTCTGGGGAAGAGCGTCCGTCCCGTTTTCAACTTTCCACCCCCGTCCTGGCGGGAAGAGCAGTCTGGTTAGATTAGATTTTGTGCTTTCGTGGTAGAAGAAGTGTGAGTATCAGAAACGAGAAAAAACGTGTCAGTGGAAAGGGCAGAGGAATCAATATCTGAAAGATCAGCTACAAGACTTATAAACACAGTGTGAACTCCTGACCCGTCTCTTATTCATTCCTTCTGTGACCGTTTGTTGTTGGGAACCTGCCGTGCCGGCCTCTGGGGAGCCTCCCACTCCAGCAGGCGGACAGTAAGAACCCGCGCGGTAAGGTAAAGTGTGGCGGGCGCCCTGAGGAACCGAAGCGGGAAGCCGTGATGGATTTCCTGGGGAGGAGACGCGGCAGGGGAGGCAGGGGAGGCGGGGGCCGCGCTCTGAGGAGGTGGCGTCGGAGCTGAGGCCTGAACGACAGGGAGGCGGCAGCCCCATGCAAGTCAGGGACAGGCATTCCAGACGGAGTGAACACAGCCAAACCTTCGTCATGAGCTACTCAGCGGCTCTACTGCTTTAAGTGACTGCGAGTTTTGTTCCTGGAATCCACCCATAGATACTGACCGAGCTCCCGTAAAAAAACAAACAAACTGGTGCCTCCTTTGCGTGCCACAGAACTCAGAGGACGTGTTCTTGTGGGGCTGGGGCGGCATTTAAAAGGGGCTGCCACCTAACTCCACCTCCACCGAGTCCTCGCTGTGCAGCGTTTTGGGAGTGTGGGTTGTGCAGGCTGGACAGAGCAATGGAAACGGGAGGGGCTTCTGAGAAACGGGGGTCCCGGACCCCTGCCTGATAAATACGACCTTAATGGGTCTGCCTGTCCAAGGAACCTAAGCAGAGGGTGCTGAGCGCCTTCGTCACCTGCTGTCACCCAGCAAACAGGACCACTCTACGCTGCTTCTCTGAGCTGCAGGGCAGGCCCTTCATCAGTAGCGCAGGGGTAAGGAGGCACCGTCCCGGTGAGGACTAAATGAGGTGACAGTATATACAAAGCACACAGAACAGTCTGGCTTCTGTCACTGTCATCAAGCCAGAGGCCTGGTCCCGGGCCGCCTGGGCTCCGAGTTCTCCCGTGTCCCCTTACACCACGCTCTCACAAGACAGTTAAAAATGGCAGGCAACACTGCTTTTAAGCTGTCCCCGGGGACTGGCAGGCACAGGCTGGAGCTAGTCCTTGCCAGGCGCTCCTGAGTGAGGCGTCTCAGCAGACCTCCCACCAGGCCCTGGGTACAGTCGGCAGCACGAGTGCGTGCCCAGTGCTCCCCCACTGACTGGTGCTCCTTCCCCAAACGCTGGCCCAATCACACAACCCCGACCCGCTCACCTCCCACGCAGTGCTCGGCCAAGGGCTCGAAGAGGTCGAAGGTCGAAGTGGCTCCATCAGACATGGTGATGAACTTCCGGTGCCCGTACGGGTGTGGCGACCTCACCCTTCCCATCTTCCCATACAAGGCCGTCTGGATGTGCCCGCTCTTCCCCCAGATCAACGGGGGGATGTATCTAAGAAAGAAGGAGACCAGAAGTCAATTTGCACTCCACATTCCTTGAATAATGCTACGAAAAAACCTTTGAGCAAAAGTCTTTAAAACTGTTTAAGATTTCTTCTGACAAATTCCGCACTACACATAAATGAGACTTTTACGCATTACATCCATGCGGCGACTTACTCGCTGTCCCCATGTATTAGTATACCCCGCAGCAGATCAGCTTTAGAAGTCAACCAGGACATGCTTACATGGACAGGATGTCAAATTCAGGGAGTTAAGTAATTCCACGTGGGTTACTTCCACAACGCAGAATAAAAAGAAAGCAAGTGATACGCTTTAAACACGTGCTACGTGACAGGGTTAGCCTCATTATCCAACGAGCTGAGGTCTGTAAAAACAGAAGCAGAGCTGACACTCACTAAAGGTCGCTTCTCTGCCTTCCCCTGGTGAGACAGTCCACGGCTGCAGGGGTCGCGCCATCCCCAGAGCTGCTCCGTTACAGTGGGAAGGGCTGCAGACCCTCCCAAGAGCCTCTGAGTGCCCTGTACGTGCACGTGTCAGGAGAAGCGGGGCACGGTGCGCCCCAGGGAATACACCGGAAGGACAGAGCGGTGTAAATGTTTGTTGCATCACTGAAGGGAAAAGGCTGGTTAGCGTGGGCAAGGCATGACGTCACCCTCACAACTGTCCTTTGTGAAAGCAGGAAATGACTGGCTCTTCATAGAAAACAAGAAAACCACACGCTAATTACTGGGAAAACGAGGCGCTCCAAGTTACAGTTAGGAAATGTTTGCAGTTCAGACCACAGTGCAAGAGGATGGATCCCCTGTACCGAGCTGCTGCTGGTTTCTCTTCTGCGGCTTTGAGCCCAGGCCGGACGGCTGGCCAGGGTGTGCATCCCACACAAACTAGAGTCACGCAATATAAAGTGGTGACGACATCGACCCTTCATCTCTGTGTTACATCACAGTGGTGGGCACTGTGTTATTATCAGTCGTTTACCTTAAGCTATTAGTCAAGTCGTGCCTGTCATTTCTGTCAGACCAGGTGATCCCAGATGCCCTTCTTAAATTAAATCAGGTTTACTTCTTTTTTTTTGGATGGGGGCGTAATTCATTAAACCTATGCAAACTGAAGAGATGTGAAGCTGTCACCTCAAGCAATCCGGTTCCCAGAGGAGCTTCCTCGTTGGGGACGGGGAGGAGGGGGAAGAGCATTTTAAGACGTAAGGGCGTGAAGCCGCTCGCCAACGTGACCCACCGGTGCTAACCTCAGAGTGGGAGCCACGGCGTGTGGAAAGCAGGCGGAGACATTCATAAGGATGGGTGGATTAAAAGAACAAAGAGCGATCTTAATGAAAACCGTGTCAATTGGACGACTGCACACTACAGGAGACTGAGACACAGGATCCAAGAAAGGCTTCAGACTCTGGACCTGGGTGACACACGGTACCCGGGGGGTGGGGGGGGTGGGGCGTGCGCCCAGAAACTGAACGAGGGCTCCAGGGGGGACGTGCCCGGCGCGCAGCTCTGACCCGGTTCCCCGGGTGGCTCGGCGAACGTCAAGACCCTTTTCAAGCACACTCCTCTTGCCGCCCGTGGGTGCCAGGCCCGCTCATCCAATCCAGTGAGCACGTGGGGCGGACGTGCTGCCTGAGCACAGAGCCGACCCGCACAGCAAATCCGAACACACAAAGATATACACCGGGGGCTGTCCGGAAGAAGCCCAGCCGTTGTAAATGTAATGGGACCAGAGTACGTGGCGGGGACGTGACCTGGCAGCCCAGGAGAGCGGACTAGAACGCGCATGCGTGAACAATGAGGACTTCACTGCACTAGTCAGTGGGGGCGGTAGGTGCTACTGAGTGAGCACGTGTACTGTGTGACTGTCACATTCAAAATGACTGAGCGAGGAGAGCAGCGAATCTGCATCAAATTTTGCATTAAGTTTGAACATTCCGCTGAGGGAACCATTTGGATGATTCAGAGGCCGCAGCCATGGCGACTGGTGGTTGGCAGCTTCATCACGACAACACGCCCGCTCTTGCATCACCTCTCGTGCCGAGTTTGTGGCAGAACTTCAAATCACCCAGGTGACTCAGCCCCCTCAGGGCCCAGATCTGGCACCCTGCAACTTCTGGCTTTCCCCAAAACCAATGTCGCCTTTGAGAGGGACGAGATTTCAGACCATCGATGAGATTCAGGAAAATACGATGGGGCAGCTGATGGCAAATGGGCGAGCTGTGTGAGGTCCCAAGGTGCCTACTTTGAAGGGGACTGAGGTGTCGCTGTCCTCTGTACAACGTTTCTTGTGTCTTCTTCAGTAAATATCTCTATTTTCCACAGCACACAGCTGGATACTTTCTGGACAGACCTCGCACTTACGAAACGATAATCGCCATAACAAGGGGAATCTGGCTGCGGCACGACTGGGGCCCAGGTGCTGTGTTCTTCCCAGGGCACCCGGCCCCATTCTGAGCCTGGGCTGCGGTCAAGTTCTCAAGGTGTGTACGTGTGTGTGTGTGTGTGTGTGTGTGTGTGTGTGTGTGGATGAGAGGCTGCCTCCGGACCCCCTGCGGCCGTCTCAGTGCACGTGAGGTCAGCGGTGCACTGGGGAAGTCCCACGATCTTTAATTTTACGGCAGTACCACCTACTGAGCAAGCACTGTTTTTAATTGATTTCACATTAACACAACCCCAGGGCTGACAAAACTGAAACTGCGGGCAGAATTCTCTGTGGTGGGGTTTTTCCATGTGTTGTTTATGTGACTTACCCACAGACCACACACACACACACACACACACACACACACACACACCAAACAAAAAACCCAGAATACGTGCCTAGTCACTTGGTTTAGGTTGGAAAGGAAATACGGACCAAAACAATGGAAAACTTTGGAATTTATATAAACACATAAGCACTTAAGAGAGGGGATGAGAAATGTTCATGGAGGAACAGGCTTGACTCTCACTACCTGCGTGGTGGCGTGTCTGAAAACGCAGCTGCCAGGCCCCACCTCTTCCTGTCCCCACAGCCCATCTGCCCACCAGGAGGCAGACACCTCCCGCCCCGCCTGAGTGCGGGCTGTCCGGTGGCGTGTTTGGGCTGGCAGGCTGCAGCGGAGGAATGCCGTCAGATCGGGGCCTGGCCCTTCACAGGCCCAGGGGGCGTCTGCCCGAACCTCCTGGACCTGGCGCCGTGAGGTGAGGGGCTGGGACCTGATCACCCTGCGAGGAGGGGTGCCACGGAGTGGGCCCGGAGGCTGCGAATGGAAAGGGAGCTGTGCGCTTTTCGAAGCCCAGAGGATCACTGGATTGCCTCCCTCAACAGATGGGCCAAGGGGCACTCCCACCAATTGTGCATTAAAATGACCTATTGTCTCCCTCACCTTCAGCAGTCATTGGTGTTGCCAACCTTTTACATTGGGGCCACTTTGACAGGCAAAAAAACAAAACAAAACAAAACGGTATTTCATTTCAATGTGTTTTCTTATGTTTGATCCAATCTATGGTGAAAAAAAAAGAAGAAAGTTTCTTATTTGCATTTCTCCAATTCATTAATTATTCATCACTGTATTTCTTTTGTGAATGGTCTGTCTGTGTCCTTTGTCCATTTCTCCATTACTTTTCCTTTCACTCTGTAGGTATCATTTTATCACCTCTACATTAAGTCTTTATATAGTATGTTGCAAAGGTTTTCGCTCAGTCTCTTGTATATCTTAATTTTATCTTTTGTCTTACATAACTTGTATACATTGTGTTTACATTTGCTAGTTTTTTCTATTAAAACCTTTGTGTTTTGCACTTAGTTTTAAAAAGACCTAGTCTAACACCCAATTACATATTCCCCAATATTCCCTTCCACTCCTCCTACAAGCTTGAAAACTACAGTGCCCTTAAATCCACTTACTTTTGTAAAGGACGGGAAGCAGAGATCTAATGCATTTTCTCCTCACAACGAATTGTCCTTCCACCATAAATGGCCCACCCTTTCCCTCCTTACTTAAACTGTCCCTTTAAACACACGCCGAGTGCCCAGTGGAACAGCCGGGCCCGTTTGTGTCTCTCCGCCCCGGTCCAGCGGTCCACGCGGCTCCTTGCGTGCCAGCGTGACCCCGCTTCCTTCGGGCCGCTCCACGGAGGATTTCCAGACTGGAGAGGGCAGGGCTCCCCCACTCTTTTTTTCAGTGTTTCTTGGCCGATTTTTGCCATTTTGTTTTCCAGATGAACTATAGCAGCGGCCTGATCTCTAAAAATCGTGGGATTTCTAACTGGAAACATACAGAACATAATTATTCTACCTTGGGGAAAGCTGACACCTGCACGACTTCGACGGGCCCCACTGGAGAGCGTGGAGCGTCTCTCCGTCGCTGGGGTATTTATGTCCCACAGTAAAACTTCACAGCTCACTACACGTTTCAATGCCCGGTTCTAATTACACTAATCCACATGCACTTCTACACGTATTTTTTAAAGCTGTTCTTAGGATCAGCATCTGGGCACGTTTAGTCCTAACTCCCCAAAGGCCGAGGTGATGTTGTCCAGTTTGCTAACCGCACGGGGGTTTGCCCAGTGCTGTGCTGTGGCCGGTGGCCAGTAAGTGCTCGTCACTGAGAAAACGGCAAGACCACAACACAACACAGAGGCCAGTCTGTCCTCATCCTCTGAGCCTATTTATGGCCAACATCTGGCTACACTAACAGAACTGCCCCTGGAAAGACCGCAGGGGTAACTCTGGGCCCCTCCCACCCCACCGCTCCATACACACATGAGCAAGGACAGACGGTTGCTGTGACCCATGCTCATCATCTTTGCCCTAAATCTCTGGGCGACCATTTTTCCCTACGGGACCCAGGTCCCTTGGTTGTGGATCAAACCATTTTAAAGCTGCTGAAGCCAGACTTAGCTGCCATTCCCTGGTTCTCCCAAGTACCCCTCTACCAAGTCGGCACCGGCCGGCGCACAGTAGGACGTGTGCAGGGGCTCAGCCTGAGACAGAGCGCTCTCACTC